AAGGCTTTTTTTTTTCCCTAAGAGAAACTACTGAAGTTCTAGGAGAAACAAATGGTATCTGTAGAAATTGGCTTTTACAGAGAAGATTCACATTGGCTGCCCCCAGCTCTTCCCCCCCCCCAGGAGCACGGATCACCTTGCCTGGCCTCTGCTGTCACTGCTGTGCTGCACTGCACACGTGGCCAGAGCTACTGCTCCAGCATACCCAAACCAAACTTGTTCAAAACAAAATCAAACCACCAATTAATTCATATTCTATCCAAACTACTGGCCTGAAAGTTGTATCATTACTTTGTATTCCACTCATACTAGCAAGACTACCAAATGAAATAAGTCCTTAAATCTGATTAGCCGAAAATAACATTGTAAATCTTTGTGCACTGATTAAATGAAAATTCTGAAGGCAGAAGAGCTGGGAGGCTGAGGCAGGATGGAGAGCATGGTACCACAGCTCGTGGGTAAGGGGCTCAGGCTGTAGCTAAGGGTTTGTTCTTCATTGCAAGTTCTAAATGTAAAATCTGGTAAGGTAGGTAGTGACCCCGCTGAGCGTTATGATCTCCTGTGTTTATGATTTGGGCAAATTGGTCTTAGTGTTCTATTCTATTTCTGTTTGATGTGGCTTGCCTGGCTGTGTAGGACAAGGGAACCCGGATCCCCGTGTGCTGAACTCCCACCCAAGGCAGTGCACAGCCTCCAGCCCATGGCCTGCTGCTGGCTGGCTCCTCAGGAACAGCCCCTGTGCCACCTGGGCCCAGCACCAGTGCCTGCGTCCTTGCTGGAGACCAGACCCTGCATGTGAACAGGTCCAAAGGTTTGTCATTTAGAGTTGTCTTTGCATTTCCTGTTGCATATATCTCTATCAGATATATACATATATACACATATTTATAAATATGCAGACTTCCCATTGCATAAGGTAATCAAATGCTATACTACAAGCAAGAGAGGATTCACCATGGGAGAGTCTTTACATTCAAAGTGCTTACTAACAACAGCAAACCAATTTCATGAACACTTTGTCCTGTAATTTTTAATTGAACCTTCAGGTCATGGAAATCAGTGGTGTTCTACAGCACTGGTGATTTAACTTCTAGCTATTCATCTATCAGCTAAAAATATATGGCTGTTAGAGCTATGTTTCAAAGGTCTTTTCATTCATGTTCAGAAAAAGGCCCCTTGTAACAGCATCAGTAGCCTTTCAGGCAGAACGTTCCCAATAAATAAATGCCTGGAAACGTGTCTGTGGTCCCATGGATGCCCAGCATGCAGCCTGAGGGCTCTGCTCTCACCCTGCTCTTAGCTCTGCAAAGCATCGCAACAGATCTGAATTCTGCTATTTAGAACAACTGGCTTGTAAATATCACAGCTGATCAACACAGCGCTCAGTGACCAAATTGTTAGGACCAGAAGGCCCCACAGGCTTCCTGTGATCTTTTCTTAGAAATGTTTCTCAAAATAAGAAAAGCATTTGTGAGCAGCTTTCTTTTCTTTAATTTTTCCTTTTTTGTTGTTTTTTTTTTCTTAATAGCCAACTGGCAACAGGGCTGCAGAACAGCTGGGCCCTGGGATTTGGACACATCTGGCCCTATCAGGAGCCACCGGCAGCACGGGGCCATCAGCCCCAGCACTGACCATGAGTTCCTTAAGACTCACTTGCTGCAAAATGAGGGTAAGAGAACCCCAGTGCAGATTTCCTTCTGCAATCCAGCCCTTCCCTGAGGATCATTTGTTGTTTATTGCAAGAAAAATGTAAAAAAGAACCCAGCACAGTTCCACTGAGATTAATGCTTCCACTAGGAGCTTAAAAAACAGGGCATTGAGTGCCTGTATCGTTGACAAGGGAGAACATATGGTGTGCCCAGGAGTGCTGTGCAGCCCAAAGAAAGGAAACCATCTGCAGCTCTGAGCCTGCGCTTGCCTTATCAGAATTCTCTCTCACACACACAAGTGAACCCACACATGGAGCTCACCTCTGGGCAAGCTGTCCTCTACCCACCAGACTTGCTGTAGAGCTGTATTTATACTTATGGGCTTTTTATGTGCAAAGCCTGCATGTAGCTGGGTACCCTGCTTGCAAACCTGGCCGTGCACAATGGTGCAACGTGAGGTTCTGGGAAAGAAAAAGCTGCAGGTTGTTTGAGTGGATTAATGGGGAAACCCTGAGCAGTCCCACTGAAGATGAGTTGCTCCTATCTAAACACCACTTCTATCACTTTGAATAAAAACAACGCTAAGAAGAAACTGCTGGGGCATTTGGACAGTGGTGGCTGCTATTAAAGCTTACCTATTGCACGTTTCAGCTGGGAGGCCAAACTCGTCCCAGATCCCTCCTGGAGTCGGGGAGTTGTGGCTGAGGTTTTTCTTCAATTTTATTGTAATTTCCTTTTCATTACAATCCACTGATGAAAGCTCTCAGCAATCTTGACATACAGTTGTGCACACAGCCTCGATTTATGCTGCCACTGTGCTTTAGTCTCATAAACTCAGCGTGCAGAAACCCACCAAAGCAAACAATGTAGCATTAACAAGCACGCAGCCACGCAACTCTGAAGTCAGAGTTCAGCCATCCTCACCTGTCTCCACTGCCTTGGCAACGGGCCTCCTTAGCTCTGCAACTCCCTGCTACATTTGGATGCTACCAAAGCACTCTGTGCATTGCAGCTGCTGTGTGCTGAAGTGCTGAGGGAAGGAGGGATGTGTGCTGTGCGTTCTGCACGCCCGCGCTGCACAGTGTTACAGTAGGATGCAGAATTGCAGAAGTAATGCACTCCACTTACCTACTGGAAGCAGAAATGACAGGGAAGCTCTGAGCAGGGGGCCGTGCTGCCATAAGGTGCCTGTGGGCTGCACAACTACAGCTGTACACGTGTGCTCTGCACATTGTGTGTGCTCACATCCATGACAGTGATTTTTCTGCGTGAAAAAAGTAGCTCCAAAGAGGCCTTAGGTGCATAAATACCTATTAACATACCTGATTTCCATTCAGTGCAGCTACAGACTACAAAGGTACAATTTTCTGAACATGGTGATGAGTAAAACTTGATATTTTCTCTTGAAGGGCAAAGGACTTAAAGTGGGGACGTTGGTCTCTGATGTGCCAACTCAGGGGGGAGCTTCAAATGGGTTCTGCAGAGCCTGTGTGGTTTTTGTTTTGAAATTACATCTGTGTGGCAGAAATGGAAAACTGAAAACAGGGAAACAACCCCAACCTGGATCAGCTTCAGCTTGTAATATCAAGTGGATCTGGGAGCGTGGTGCCACCCAGGGGTCACAGGAGCTCTTCCACTAAGAGCACTTGCACGGGTAAAGGAAAAGTTAGTATTATGTCACTTAGGAAATTATGGTTCGTTATTATTTGTACTAATAAACTCAATAACTCTTGTTGTTTAAAGAGAAAAGGAAAGATGCAAACAACCATGGAATATAGAATTTACGTGCCGACATAAAAGCCTCATACTCCCAAGCCCTTCCAGTGCTTCCCAGCAGCCTAAAAAGATAAGGAAGAGTGCAAACAATTAAAGGCCTGGTGCTTCATGACACCCAGGGGGCAGTTCCTACTCTTACCTATTTGTGGGGTGCTTCTCTGTGGCAGGCACCTGGCCCATGCACAGAGCACACAGAAGGGGCACCACTACCTTCTGACATCATGTCAGTTTAACTGGAAGTCTTAATCACTTCAGTCAGCGTGTGCTTGAGGGGAGGAGACGGAAGGTTTGAGGGTTAGCAGTCAGGAGATGCCTGTGGGCAGCACCCTGTGAGCAGCTCCTGGCTCTGCCTGCAGCCCAGCACCAGACTGTGGGCAGCAGCACAAGTGGCAGCACCTTGTGGGAGCGTTCCTTGTGTTTCACCTCCTTGCTGTCAGCACGGTGTACCCCTGAATTACTGAGGCGGCAGCAGTTTGGCAGAATTTGGTGCTGTCTCTGTTGAAAACAGCGTGAGGATTTTTACCTTAAGGGTTTTCAGATTCGGTACTTCGGTGGGAAAGCTCCCCATGCTCTGTCAGTGCCACTCTTCCACCATTTCTCAGGTATGCTGAGTCAATCCCCATTCGTTTTAGAGACTATCATTCAAATAAAGGGTTCTGTAAAGGCTAAAGCCATACTGGTCATGGACATAGCGAGCCCGGGCCAGAGCAAAAAGACAGAACACCGTAACACAGGGGAAATGGGCAACACAGGTGAGGGGCCGTCACTTCAAATGGAAAAGATAGAATAATGAAATTAGCAGCAACAAAAGAAGTTTGACTGCCGCCCATCGCAAACTCCTCCCGTTAGGAAGCGGAGCTGTCTACACTCACTGCTCGTCCTCGTGGTGCGTTCACATGAAGCAACTGAAAGCGCCCACCAGGAGGACGTGCGCCCATCTCCTGCCGTTGGTGGCACTACCCGGGCTGTCCAGAGCTCACCCTGTGCAGCGACAGTTTCACTCGTTAGTACGGAGCCAGCTATACACACTGCATATGTACAGGTATTTTCATAAGGCATATAATATCTTTGCATTGAAAATAAATGAACGTTATTAAATTTAATTTAATATATACTTTCTTTGAGGTGTTTATGAAAATATCTTTTCTCTATATTTTCGTATGTGACATGATAGAAATATCTCATGGGAAGTACAGGTTAATATATTTCATCTTTATAAAGGCATATACAACTTTGAGGCAGTGTTTCTGATGGACAGCAGAATTCCTAACGAACTGGTATGTGCTTCTGTGTTTTGAAATCATATGAAATTGACCTTAAGAAGAAACTCGATTAAAAAAACGCACCAATGCACAGCCGGAGGCTGACGGGTAGAACTGATACGTAGCCACATGAACCAGAGATCTGTGTCGGTCGTGTATTTCTTTCGAGATGATTGGTACTGACATAGAGTATTATACATTTGGCACTACTGTTTGCCATTGGTCCAGCAATTGGCAAAAATTGGTTTCCTATGTATAAATCTGTTTGAACATTAGATCTGGCTAGACATATTTACTATTTATAAAAAAATATTTAGACGGTAAGCTCACGTTGAATAACTAGGTCTACTGTGTTCTGGAAACTCTTCAGTAGTAATACAGCTTTCTCGTGTTCCATATGTACAAAACTGTGTCCGTTCGCCTGCAATGCAGAAACAAGAAGGGAAATCACATGAGGTTCTCTGTAATAGCTTCATTTCAGGGGAAGGGATAACACAGAAGGGACAAAAAGCCAAAAACGAGCAGCAGTCACACAGTGATCTCCTGCAACCAGGAGTTCGGAGGGACCACTGCTGCCACAGCTGCTCTGTGGCCCCTTTTCCACATACACTTATGGTTTCAAACAGCTTTATTCCTTCTGAGACCAGATTTCAAGACTACTGCAAGTAACACTGTTAGAAATCAACACTAAAGTGCCAAGAATTGTACTGAAAACAACGTTAGTGTGAGATGCAAAGGCATGCCTTATATCTCCGCTCGGTTACAAAGCAGTAAATCCCTACCTGGAGGATCTTGTCGCCAGGCTGGAGCAGGCTGGATGCTGGTCCGTCAGGCTGAACCCTAGTAACAAAGATACCCTATAAGTCAGAAGTAACAGAGGTTAGGATGCTATTACCAAGAACTAGTTCCCAAAATACAGGTGTTTTCCTAACTGCTGGGCTGGGGATCTGTGCTCTCTGGCAATGCTCTCAACACCAAACCCCTGTTTTAATCTGCAAGGAGCCAAGCAGCAGCTTGTAGCAGCGCTCGTGACCTGCAGCCTGTTAGCTCCTGGCACCACGAAACTCAGGGGCATCTGAAGCAAGATTCCACTTCACAAATAACATGCAATTGGAAGAGCTTCTGGAAACAGGAGAAACAGGATTAGCAGGAGTTAAAGCAGAGCAATGGTCTCTAGAATCCTCTCTGAATCCATTGCCTGCAGAGTGAATGACATTGAAAGGGGATAAACTATTAAATAATGAAGAATATTTTTAGATTTGTGTTTAGAATTTTTGTACGACATGTTAATAAGCCCCCAAGTTAGGGATGGAGCTCCTGAGTGATGAGTGCAATATTTCCACACAGCTCATGAGGTCCTGGACCTCTGCACCCACAGCCTCACCTCCCCACTGCCCCACACAGCACTGAGGGAGCACCTCACACCGGGCCGCAGCTGAGCACAGGCTGCATTTCACCAGGCACACTGCTCTGAGGCACCAGGGACATTCCCTGCTCGTTGCTGTCATGTAAACCCTGTGTCCCCTCAGGGGACTCCCCAGCCTTCTGGAGCTGGGTTCTGCCCAGTGTTTCTGCTGCCCTTCCAGAAACCTGAGCTCCTGCAGAGCAGAGGGATGGAACCTATGGTGCTTACATCTCCCCCATGCCGTTGAAGTTTGAAACATCGGCCATTCAGAACGACTGCTCTGTGCTGCTTCCCCCCATCCCAGCACCATCAATATGTGATGGCAGGGGCACACTGCTGCTCAGAGCACTGCTCCCTGCCATCACTGCTGCTCCCATCTCAGGGGCAGAGCAGTGCCATGTGCGTGTGGCTCAGAGGTCTGCAGGCAGCAGGCAGTTGCTGAGGACAACATTGGGAAGCAATTGAAAAAGCCCCAACATTTTAAACTGTTCCTTCCTTCAATATAACCATTCTAGCACTCCTTTACACTCAATTTTGAATTGTCTTCATTAGTAATATTCTATCTACAGCTGTTGCTGCACTGCACGTGTAACTAGCTCACGCAGGTACATTCTTAGTGGGACACAGGTTCTCCTTTAAGGATTTCAGACCAGTGACAGACAGTGGAAGCACAACTTAATTCTAACCTCATACATCAAACTGAAAAAGAGGACACAATGTTCCAAACTGCAATACCAATGGACACCCAACATGAACAACCAGAACTAATACTGACTGTCCTTGGCCACAATGCACCACAGTGGCCAAGCCTTGAATTAGCGTTACAAACCAGGAGATTGCTTGCCGTGGTGTTCCTAAGCTATGGCTCATCTCCAGACCAGTTTGTGGACCAGGACTGCTTTATGTTATGCCCCTGCTACAGACTGCTCTTTCAGTTACCTGGTGATGGTTACTCCTGCCTCAGCAGTCGCTCTAATGATGCTAAGTGACAAATTAATTGGGGCCTATATTGATTCTCAGAAGGAAAAAGTGAGAGAGATGATGCTGTGCACCACAGTCTGACAATTTATCTGTGTGAACCATAAACCAGACACCCATGTGACTTCTGCTTTAAGTCTCTCATCTTCATTAACCAACCAAACAAACAAAAAGCAAACATTTCTCCCATAGCAGAACAAGGCCACCTGTGGGAAAACTTCCATTTATTGTAACAGAAGTTCATAAAGATGGCATTCATTGTATTTGTGTCTCCACTACAGGCACTCTAAAATAAAGCCCATTTAGTGAGAAACGCACGACTTACCTTATCGGAAGGTTTGAATGGATTGCCTTGTCCACTTATTCCACCACTGATACTAAAACCAAGGCCAGGATTCTTCTCTATCCTCACACAAAACTAGGTTAAAAAGATACAGCAACGTAAGTGACTGCCAGCACCAAAGCCTGACCAAACAATGGCATCTTCTCGTACAGCTGAGCTCACATCAACAAGATGAGTTCACCCTCCCAAGAGCCGTATTGCACAACGCAGTAAAAGCCATTCAAATGTTTTTGAAATGAAAGATTTTCACGGTTTCAACATGTTACAGTGATACTACGATGCTCACAGAGCTCTGCCTATGTTTCCATATATTTCAATTTTTATTTTCAAGGAGAAAAATAAAAGACACTTGTGAAAAGGCAGTTTCTGTCAGCCCAGTCTTTCCCTCTCACTGGAACCTCGGGTAATTATGTCAGTAAGAACAGAATCTGCCCCTACAGTCCATGTTGTGCACTTCCATTGCTCCAGCTGTCGCACCCCTGGGTGCTGTGCAGGTGACAAACAGCTGCAAGCAATGGGAAGCTCAGAGACCTTCAGAATTTTGCCAGTATCAGCCCCAGTAGCTCTGAGCACCAATGGTTTTACAAGGGCTCTCTTCCAAGAAATCGTGCTGAACCTTATCTGTCGGTCAGGGTGGATTTCAATGGCATTGGCTAATTTAGTGTAAAATAAAAATGACATCTGTGCAGCTTAATGACCACTCATCAAGGTGCAAGGAATGGCTGCTGAATCTCAGTGCTCGGCCCCGGGACTTAAACCAGGCAGCTGCTGGCATGGACTGCCAGCACTTCACACAGGAGAGAGTTTTGGTGTTGGATCTGAGCCTCGTTCCTCGAGTCAGGTGCCTCCAGCAGTCACTGACATCAGTAAGGCCAAACAGATTGGGGACAGGACCACCCAGGGAAGCTCACAGCACCCACCAGGGGAGGGTGCAACATCTGCCAAACACGCACTGTCAGCACTGAGCCAGGATGCTGCAAACTGGGAGGAACTGCGGACAAATTCAGCATGACCACTGATGTCAGGAACCTCAGTGGCAGCATTCCCTGGTCAAGCCAAGGAAATCAGTGCCATTCCCTGGTGCTGGGCAGCACAGCCCACCTCCCCGCCCTGCGTGGCACATGGCAGTGCTGCCCTGGGCCCCCTCATACGGCTGTGTGGAAGAGGGGGATAAAGGAGTATCTTTCACAGCGTTACTTTCTGCAGACACGCTCCCACCTGCTCCTGGTAGGCGTCTGTACTCCTCTGCCCCTTGGTCTGGATGAGGCATCGCCCCGTCTGCGGCCCTCGGGAGCTCTGCGAGGAGGGGATCTGGATGGGCAGCGGGGGCTGGTACTGCTGGATGGTCACCTTGTTCATGTTCCCCTCGTACTGCTGCTCACGGCTGCGGTGCTGCAGGCTTTGCGACCCCATCAAGGTCTGGATGTGGCTACCTGCCTGTGGGTAATGCAGCCCGTTAGGCCAGAAAGTCAGGAAGCTGAAAAGAAGCAATTATTACAACTTACAGAGTCAAGTACGAGCAAACCTCTTAAATCCCATCAGAGGTTTGTCTTCTGAGCACCGTTAGGAACAGCTGTGATTGAAAGCAGCAAGGATACGCTCATTTAGCGACCCAGAAAGGCTTAAGGGAAATCAGCCAGATGCAGTACGTTTCATAAACAGAGAGTTGTTTTTTCCTCATGTCGTGATACGTGAATACATGCTTCAGCTCAGAATGTATTAAAAAATACACTGAACTGGAGTGGATTATTCATCACAGCATATTCAAAGACATTGAGAAGCATCCTCCATCACTCCACTGCACTGCTTTCAGATTACAGCCACCCACCAAGGACGAGCATTTGAGCACTATATTTGAAGACCATGAACATGAAGGAGCATTAGAACTGCACATCTCAGTATCTGCCAGCTTCTGTGGACAAAGTGAAACCAACAGTGGCACAATCCCTTGCCGTTATGCAGCTCTGATCTTCATTAGTACTGACCCCTTCTGACTCTGCTGAGATTCAGCACTGGAGAGATGGTATTTCAGAGGTGATCAACATTAACACAGTCAAAGATCAGAATGTTTTGTACCTGTCAGCCATTCATCTGACCTTGCAAATGATAACAACCAAGGCATTGGAACTAACTGCTTGCTGCCACTGCTAAAATGCACTGGGATGAATTTTCAAGAATTGCCTGCTGAATACATCATTAATTTTGATGCCGTTGGAGCAACTCAAGGTACTGAATGCAGCAAGATGCACAATGACTGCAAGCAAAACTGCTCTGCCTTGGTGTTCTGCTGATTGCATCTGAACAGAAGGACCAGCTAGCACAGCCAGAATACGTCTGGCAGGTCTGTGTCTGAGTACCTGAGATGGGTAGCCTCATGAAAAATGGCACAGAACTCTGCTACTGTTGTACCCTGCTCTTTAGTGCCCAAACTCTTCTTAAAGAGCACGTGGACATGACAGTGTAAATGGGCACTGACCAACTTGCTCCTGGAATAGCCTGGGGAAGTCAGTCTGCACTGATTATCCTGCTTTACGGGTCAGGAAGATCTGCAGTTCCTCCAAGATCAGAAGGGAATTGCTCAGGACAGACTTGGAGCAATTCATCAGCTCCCAGCACATCAAACCATGTGCCCATGTCACCCTGAGCTATGGAGGTCCTGTGCTTCATGTGCTTGGCACTCATTGCTGAAGTATCCAAAAAGAGAGGAATCTCATAAATCCCACTGTTTGACTCAGATATGATGCAGCTCATCCACCACAGCACCTGCATCAGGCACAACGTCCACCTCAGAGACACCAATTTCGGACACAAACAACACCGTGCTTCTTCACTGAAAATCTTCAGATCTTCACATCAGCCTAAAAGAGCTCCAGACTGAGCAGCAGACACTGGAAATAAAACAGAAGGACCCTCCAGTTCCCCAGTTCTGGCTAACAGATACCACCTCTAAGTCAAAAGAGGAAACGGAGACTCAGCCATGTTAGTGCGTCCTATTTCCAGGCAGCTGCCTTGCTCCAGTTCCTTGCACAGCTGCTGAGCCCCATACAGCCCACATAGGGCTTTCCAAGAGTTTGTGTAGCCTCAGTTGCGTGTTCCACTGCCACCACAGCCGCTGCAGCAGCCAACCTGCCCCAGGCTGCTGGACTCAGCGGCCGTTCATCTTCCATCTTCATTTTCACTCTTCAGCCACTCATTTCCATCAGCAGTGACTCCAGGCTGCCTTTGGGTGCTCCTCTCCCACACCTCTACCCCTTCCTTCTTACAGAAAAGCAGGTCGTTCAGAATGAAGCTGACATGACATAAAAGCACAAGCTCTGCAGTTCTCTAACAAGGCAGTGGTTACTTGATTTAAAGATTAGTAAACTTAAAACTTATCCATACGATATCTTGTATATACCATAACTTATCCATAAAACTTATCCGTACAATAAATATCCCACAGAGTATGAGCTGATCACTTAAATGATGATACTTAGATGAAAACAAAGCTGCTGTTTAATCTGTAGCGTGAGCAGTGAAGAGGTCAGAAGTTAACCCTCACATCCCATACATTACACAGTTATATGTGTAGTATTCCCACCCCCCAACGAACTGAAGTACCACCGTGACACAAACTGCAGCCCTCTGGGTGCAGCTGGTTTAGCAGCAGGCACTGTGATGGTGACATTCTCCACCATGCTGAGCACAGCCTGTGGGTGGCACTTCCTCTCAGAAGAGCACATCCCAGCTTTCTCCCAGCCATGTCCCAAGGGCAGCTCTGCCCCAGGCTGACTGCTCTGCGGGAGCCCTTTCCCACCATGACTACAGGTACTGTGCTATGGGTAAACAACAGCAGCTTCCACAATGTGTATTACATCATGTCATTGTTCCTTGTGGTGTACTTCCTTTCTATAGGAGATTTTTGGAATCCAAGGCCCTGCAGGTGATTTACATTGGAAACGAGATGAGCATTGTCAAAACAACACACTGCAAAGCATCTCCTGAGGACGGGTAAACAGTTTTCAGAATTCATTTCTCATTCCTGTTAATAGACTTTGTTTGAAGAGATGATATCACCACTGCTTGTGCACTCATGCTGTGGCTCCTGCTGGAGGTGGGTAAGCTGAAAACAAACCCTGTTCTCAGAAAGGGCGATTATTTGTTCTTCAGAAAAAGGTCTCCATCATGCCCACCGCCTCCCCTGATCTCATTGCTATTCTGTACTACATTCAGCATCACCCTAAATGGTAATTATTGTTAGCTCAGTGCCCGATGCTTACAGCATAGCTGAAGCAGTGGGTGCAACAAAGGGTTGCTCCCCGGAGTGCAGCAGATTTCAGTACAGTTATGCAACATTTGTGCTTACTGCTTTGGGGCACTGAGACGCTCCAATATTCAGAATGAACCAGAATCTGCAGTTCCTTACTACAGTGACACTGGTGATGTGAGACATGAACGGGTATCCAGTCATGACGGGGGGTAAGCGCAGGTTTTATCCCCAAATGCTTGTGAAGTTAAGGATAACTTAGGATACAAAGCGTAACTCCTCATAAGTGCAAACTGCCTTGTCTCTACCTTCTTGAAAGGGTTGCTGCTGTCTTGGAGAAACAGATGTGAAGCCAGTCGGGGAATATTTATCTCATCAGTGCTGACGGTTAATTACACTGCTGAAGTTTTCAACAGGCACATTGTAACTCATAAGACTTCATCCAGGAGCAGGACCCGTCTCCACACAGACAGCAATGGGTGCCACTGTCGCTGCTACAGGCACAGCTCCCCTTGTGAAGCTGGAGGTGCTCGGGGTGTCCCGGCAGTGGCAGCCCATGAGCTGCTCCCCACCTCAGCATGTTTCCTTTTGGTCATGAACCGACGGATGTGATTGAAATGAGGAATGTGAGTGAAGGATTCTGAGGACAGGAGGGGCTGGTGGCTGCCCGCCATGTGCAGGAATACATCTACGGACACACGGCGCCCAGTTCTCACACTGCAGCATTGGAATAAATACAACGATGGGTACAGCATCAAAACAAGGCCCTTCGTTCCTAGTGACTGCTGCTTAAAACACTGACACCAAACCAGAGGACCTTCAAAAGCCCCTTCCAACACGAGCAACTCCACAATTCCACAAAAACAAGCATCTCCCAGGCCCATCCCAGGGCCCCCCTGCTCCCCGGCCGCGCTGCTCACCTTCTTGCTGACGGTGTCGGGGGGCACATCCCGCCGCCCCAGCGGGTAGGGGTTCCACTGGCCGCTCCCCGGCCCCTCGTCCTGCCCGTTGTCCAGGACGCTGCTCTGCTGCGACGGGGTCTGTTCACAAACGGTAGGGCAGCCTTTAGTCACCAGCAACAACTCTGCTCCAACCTTATTTCAGTAATCAACACTACTGCTAAAATGGAAATCTCTTAAATATCTACAGCATTTCGTTAACACACAGTCGTACGCCAGTGGGACTCTGCAAGTTAGAGATCTTAAATACACAGGAGAAATAACGAGCATGATGAATGATGAGAGAAAAGAGCAAACTCATTTACCCTTGATCCTTGTTTTCAGAACAACAAATTTTGGCAAAGTTGCGTATTTAAATGGGCATTAGTTGTTTGAATGAAAGCTTTCCTACTGGCCACCAAAACTATTTCATTGAGTGCTGAGCAAGGCCAGACGACTCCCCTTTCTTTGCTCAGACAGACATTCCCTGCAGTGGCACTGCGGCCATGGGACGCTCAGCACACAGCTCTCCTGGTTCCAAGGCAGCCATGCACTGTAAGCACATTAGCCACAAGGTAATTGCTTTCCTGAGTACAAACGGACATCACACACGCATCATTTCCTAAATAAGTCTGGCACTTTTTTGGGTACTTTTTCTCTGCTTTTCTCTCCTTTCAGACACGACTCGGGTCACTTCCTCACCCCACAGTTCTCGGTGCCCTTCAGGCCATCTGCACCTTCCTGCCTCCTCCAGCTTTTCTCCTCTTGCTGTGTTTCTTTACCACAGCTGAAATGACACTGACATGGATACGGCACTCTGTGCCAGGCCCCCAAAGCTCTCCAGCACTGCCCTCCTGCGGGAAGCAGCTCCTCCTTCAGCTTTGGTTGGTGCAGTGCTTTTTCTCTCCATCCCCCAACCAATTCTTTTTTCCATTTAGGTTTGAAACAATTGCAAAACACTTCTTCAGATGACTGAAGAATACACAGGACTGCAGCTTTGAAACATTAGAGCCGATTAGTGGCCAATTAGGAACTTTTCCTCTACAGTGCAGGCTTAGCAATCCTTTAAGAATAAATACAGTAAAACTTTTAAAAGCTGCACTCCTCAGAGGTGAGTAAAGGAAATTCATCCTTAATTATTTCAAATCCAAGGAAACTGTCACCATTCTCTCATCATCCAAGAAGTCTTCCAGAAGAATCAGGAAAGCTGTGATTTCCTCACATGAAACTGACAGCCGGGAGTTCCCCCATTCCTGCGGGCAGAATGCAGGTCCTGCTATGGGGATTGGCCCCTCTTCTGCCTCCACACCTCCGTGCCCCCACCAGGAGCAGCAAACTGCTTCTGCAACAAAAGTGCTCTGAGCAAAACGCCGAGCTCTGAGGAGCAGCAGGAAATTATGGAGTAGAAAGGGCCCTGTGGACGCAGGGCTGCCAGGCAGGAGCTCACTGCTGCAGCTTTGCCTGCTGAGCAACACACGTCCATATGCTGATGCCTGGCAGGGCTGCTGCACACTTCTGCGCCTGCTGCAACCCAAAGCACAGCTATGAGAAGCAGTGTGGTGCAGACACTGACCATTCAAAGCCTCACCACAGCCTTCCTCGTGAGCACCCAACTGATGTGCGGTGCTGAGTTCACACTCAACGAGGAAAAAAAATCAGAGGGTGCTTTTTGAAGAGAAAGAAAGATTCTGTGATAAAAGTTCCTCTTTCCATTTTCTGCAGCAAAACGAATCCCCCTCCTTGGCATGTTACTCGTTCACAGAGCTTGGATGGACTGTAAACCAGCAAAAACCACTTATCCACTATGTCAGGGAGAACTGGGGGCAGCAGTTCATACATGGAGAGGGCTCAGTAGTTAACCTCATCAGAATACATAATTGCTAAACATGGTTTCCTGATCTTCCACTGGATAAGCAGACCCCACTCATTACTCTCCTGAATCCGGCCACAGCACAGAGGGAAGAGAAGAGGAGAGGATGGAGCTGCCATGGCCTGGATTCACTGAGAAGCGCAAAATGTTTTACAATGCATGAAAGAACAAAATCAAACAATAATAAACATTAATTATTCTTTGTCCAACAACAGTCTTACCCCCTTCCCAAATGGTACAGTGAGAGAACGCACCCTTCGTGCCTTTCAGCATCACATGTCACATGGATATGTAGCAATGAAATGCCAGTGGGATATAAAGCAAAATAATTCACACGCCCCAGACACATCACCCTGAGCAGTTCCTCTGATGTCCAGGTTTTCATTTCCAAATTCACCTACACCTCAAAACTGTGGCAGTGATATTACTCTGAACTTTGTGTACAAAACCTCTCCCCCTGACCGCAGCTGCTGTCGGATGGATGGGTGTCTGTGAAGGACTGCTGACAAGAGGTACCACACACCCAAACAGACAGACAAACTCTCGGACGGGAAAAACAGCACGAGCAACACCGGACAGCTGTCCATGTCCCAGCACACACAGCCACAGCCAAGACCTGAGCTGGACAACGAGGAGGCAGACGCCCACACTGGGATTCACCCAAACCTGGGACAGCTGAATGGTGGTGATGGTATGGAGAGTCACAGCAGGGGAACCTGACAGCCACCCGTGCGTGCTGTGCGTGCTGTTAGGCTATCGCAGCTTTGCTTGAGAACCCCGCTGTGTGCTGGCGTCAGCCAGGAGCCCTTTGGCCAGCACAGCCTGCTCACGCTGCTGCCCTCGGTTCTCTGGCACGTGGGGTTGGATGTCAGCCCTACCCCAGCAGCCCAGCCCTCCCTGGCACTGCACCAGCTGGCTGCAGCCACGTGCCCGCGGCAGGTCAGCAATTAACAGGGCAGATGATGGCGTTCCAGTGCCTGGCTCTGCGCTCTGCTACCATTTAATTACTCGCAGAGATGCAGCTCATTTGCACCACCAGCTACTGCTGTAACGAGGTGCGGCACGCAGCGATGCTCGCCCTTCTGGCACCACACAGCCCCACACGTGGCTGCAGCAGGGCTCATCATCTCCCTGGCACCCAGAGACGGGTCAGCAGTGGCCCTTATTATTCTCCTCACCCAACATCTGCACATGTAGAGCAGTGTATGTATGCACTTATCAACAATATATCATTAACAGTTGCAAAATACTCAGCAAAAATAGGAAAAATGCTATTTCTAAGGGCGTTACTAAAACAGTTGAACGTTACGTTAGGTGTGCGAGCCACTTATTGTGGCACGTATCAGCTATTACAGAGTGCCCCGCTGATGTTCAAATGTTACAAATCCTGTCTCTTGGAGCCTATTCAACTGCATGTCAAACATCTTTACATTAATTTTTTAAGATTAAACAGTCGCAAAACAAAGCATGTTCTTCATTTCTATGCACACATCAAGTCGTTTAGAAAACATAATGATCGCATCATCTAACACAAGAGCAGGAAGCAGTAATGACAGCCATGTGAGCTCCTTCATCCAAAAAGCAAGATCATCGAGTACGAAAACACCGTTACCATCATCTTTGCTTTTTGGATTGTGTACAATATAAGCATGAACAGTAGGCAAAAGCTAAACCAAGAGAAAGCAAGGATTATTATTAATTTATTTGGTAATGCTGGTATATGCTGGCTATCCCATACTTACTTTCGGTAGAGGTAGCTCTTGAAGCATTTGGTTTTCAAATTTAGATTTAGTCTGCAAGTTTAAAGTCATGCTTCTGCCGGCATGCATTGCTGAAAACCCTCCAGAGTGCAGCATGCCAAGGCTAACTGTGTTGTGTTTGTAAGCAGCGGTCTGAGTAGAGGAAACAACCACGTGACAGGATATGAACACACATGCTCCTTCAATTAAGTATCACACATATATGGTTAATTTCACAAAGTTTTAGTTTAAGCAAACAAACAGTACCAAGAAGTAAATAGCTTTTTGATGCATGCACTGAGTCACACGGAAGCAAATACATCGCTAGTTGTACATAAAATGGGTACCATAAAAGACTTCAACGCTGACAGCAGATGAAATATGTTCTTATCTATATTCTGAGAACTGCGGTATATAATGTGGCGCACGTCTTTACTTTAAAAATACGGCCAAATTTTGGCACGTCTGCACCACCCCAGCTGGGCCAGAAAACACATCTGGCATAATGGTGGGAAGTCCTCCACGGGATGAGCCTGCAGGCATGCATCCCTGCGGGCAGCCCGCCCCGAGCTGCTGGGTGCTGCAGACAGCTGGAGGCCAGCTCTGCCTCTGCAGCATCGCTGGGAGCGGGGCATGACTGTGTGACATCACCAGTGTCAGCTTTCCGCCAATCAGAGCATATCTTAAGCACATACTCCTTGTAAGCTACTAGTAAAGATGCTTCTAAAGCACCTGGGAAGTGTTTATTGCTACCAGAACCTTCTCTACCTGGCTGCTGTACTGCGCCTGGGGTGGGCGCTTTCCAACCTGTTTCACGCAGCACAGGGAACCTAGCTGAAGGAAGGAAAGAGCTTCAGCCTTTGAGCCAGGTCAGAAAGGTTACCCACTTAACTCTTGGTGGTCTTTTAGCACGTGTCACGTCTGTGCAATTGGGAGGGACAATAAACATATCCACACCAAACTCGTGGCTATCTAGCATGAAATACGTAGGCAGACACATTTTGTTACTAACCTATGCGCCAGAGCACAGCAGCTTTTCACAATCACTGTAGGCTATGAAGTAAACCCAGATTCATAAAGTAGGCCGTTAAATAGTCAACATCATTATAAGAAATCATGCACTGTCCTAATCGTGTTACGTTTCGGATAGAAGATAAATGGGCAAAAGCTCCTATTGCTAAGAGGAGTAACGATCATATTCCACGTTAAAAGCAGTGGCAGCGTATTTCCAGTAATGCTTTTCAATGCTAAGAGAGAGCTTTAAGATGCCTCTGCTAACAGCAATCTGAAAACTAAAATTACGATGATTATTTTTTCTTTTTTTTTTTTTGGTTGATATTTTTCCTCGTTTTGTTTTACCACAAAGACACATCCGGCCTCTTCCCACGCTCTCGAACCGTTACGGGAGCGGCGGCCTTCGGCAGCACCCACAGCTGCGGCCAGGAGGGGATGCCCCTGTTGGGCAGGCAGCAGCAGGGCTCCTCCCTGCCGCTCTGCGCACAAAGACCCCCTCAGCGCCAACGTGGGATTTCATTACTGGGAGCTCTGGCGGTCACCACTGCCCGTGCAAATAGTTTGAAATACCAAAACACACGACTAAAGGCATTAATTGCAGAGAAGTGCCAAACATACCCTGTCTAACCTTCTAGCTTCTATATGTCTAAGTAGCTGTTGTCTCCAGTCAGCAGGCATTTTAGCACAGCTCTCATTTCCCTTCACAGGGGTGGGCCTTGTCTTTATATCACTGCTATCGGAAGGCTTGTCGCCATAGTTACCCAAGTTATAGTCTGACGGTATCTTTTCCAGCAGAGCCGCCATGGTGGGTCTCGCTGAGACCGGCCTGGTTTGAGAGGTGCCATAACTCTCTGTACTGTAGCTTCTTGCGGACAAGGGCCTCCTTTGGGTGAGGTTTTTAACGGGAAAGCTGCCGGTCTGGGCTTTCACTTCTTGATAGGAAGGATGCTCGTCCTCATACCTGCCGTTCCTCTTGAGGAACTGGGACTCAGAGACCGAGATGCTGCCCTGGCGCTCCATGGCCCCGCGGTACGGAGCCCGGCCGTACCTGTCGCCAGGCAGCAGCTCGTGGGGCTCGCTCACCCTGCGGAACATGGACATCTCGGTAGAGCTGGCCAGAGAATCCGCCCTCCTCAAGAAGCCCGGCCTGGAGCCCTGACTCGTGAAGGGCGTGCTGACGGCATCCTCGTTCACCGACGGCTGGGAGAAGGAGAACATGTGCTCCACGGGCGGGTAGCCGCGGTACGCCCTGGGGCTGACCAGCTCCTGGGGCAGGTTCTTGCTCTGCGGGGCGATGTACTCGGGGTTGAGCTGGAAAGGTGGCGGTAGCCTCTTCTCGGCCGTGACCTCCACTGCTCCCTGCGGGTTGAAGCTTTGGTCAAACTGGTAGACCTTCTTCGTCACGGATGACTTCTGCTGCGGCTGCACCTTGACGCTGCCGTAGGTCAGCAGCTCGTCGTCCAGCATGGGGACCGACTGGCTGCGGGACATGCTCAGCATGCCGTGCTCCGGGCCCAGCAGCTTGTCCACCCTCTCGTGGGCTCCTACAGTATCGTTACCAGATGCATAGTTTTCTAAAGGAATATTATAAACCTTGTAGGTACCGATGTCTATCTCGTCGATACTTTGCGATTTCTTAAATTTGTTAGTTTTTAAATCCCTCATCATCGGAGAAAGCCTTTCCGTACTCTTGCTGATGGAAATAACACTTTTAGAAGGGTCTGGGCGACAGTGGATATGTGAAAAGACATTTGTGAGGCTTCTGTTAGCATTTGAATCGTGATATTCCCATGCTATTCCGGGAGCGAAAGTGCTAGTTATCTCAGGAGACTCTTTGACATGATCTTTCCGCTCGGGCAAAGGGCTGGTGGTGGGGGTGTTTTCCAGTTTGGAAGGAAAAGCTGTCCTGTCTTCAAAAGGACTAGGGGTTCTGGTCCAATTTTGCCAAGGGTTGGGAGGAGGCACTTCAGATTCGTGTGTGTTTCTGAGCGTCGGCTGCTCCAGCTCCAGAGGAATGCCAACTATCCTGTCCTGCCTAATCAGCGGCCTGCGCCCATGCGCAGATGTGCTTCTAGATTTCGTGCTTAGCAGAGGGTTAGCGCTGGGGTTCTCCACCACACTCTCCTCCGCCACGAAGCCGGTGTTGTCGTAGTGTGAGCTGTCATTCCAGCTGTCGGTGAAGGTCTCACTCAGAGGACGCCGGTCGGTGCGCGGCGGCACGTTCCCTGCCGGAGCAGATTCCCGTTGGCTCAGTAATGGCTTTGTTTCGAGGGGCTGCGGAAACGATTGCACCAGCCTGCTGAAATAAAACAAAGCAAACCAAGGTAAAATGCCCTCCATTGGAGCACAGAAGCAGTCAGCAGAAAGACACACTCGTAACGCGATTTAATATTCTCCCATCTGTACTCGGGCTTTGGGATCATATCATGAGATGTGCACCTTATGTCACTGATCTGGCACGTGCCCGCAGCAGTATGTTGCACTGGAGCACAGATGCTGGAGGTATGCACACTGAGAAAACAAGAAGCAAGTCAGAATTCCTGGATGGCTCAAAGCCAAGCTCACACATAAATCCAGCTGAACATATTTTCCTGCTTCAAAAATAACCTTCTGTGAGTACAGGGGAAAATGTTTTACACTTGCAACTTTTTTTTTTTTTTTTTTTGTTTTAAACAAAGCTACCAGATGGAGCTGTGTGTCTTCTCACCACCAAGACGCTACACATCTCCAGCAAGCAGACTCCCTGTGTAATGCAAAGGGCCTGGGGATTTCATAAGATGAAGGTACATTTGGGTGACCGGAGGCAGGAACAGACAGAGCACAGTGTTCCTTGAAAGCAACAAGAGCACTTTCCAGCTGCTGATGGCCGGTGTGCATTACTGATTCCAATCATCTGCATTGCAATTGGAGTTCTGGGGCAGAGTGAGGCTCAGGACAGCATGAATGAGAGACACACGCACTCTGTTAACACTAAACTACAGCCAGCTGCAGCTTAGGACCACACAGAGCGGAGTAATTACAGCTCAATTATGAGGTGCTTTTAGGGCATGGCTGTTGTACGTGGTTGGAAAAGCAGCCGCAGAATTATTGACGTTTACAGAGCAGGAAGGAATGGCCAACACTCTGCGGCCTGGGCTCGTATTTACATGTACACCCCAAGAAACCTGGGGTAAAACGTTACTGTTTTGATTTGAATGTTTTAACAGCTAGCATCAGTCCATATGGTGTGACAAGGTAAGACAAAAGGCAATCAGAAGCTGTGTTAAAAAGAGGCTCACACCTGTTCCCCCACAAAGAGTTATTCACTGCTTCTTTAGCCGATGTCTGCAAGGACCCCATTTTAACGTGCGCGTTGGAGGACCCTGAGGAAGCCTGGGAAGGGGAATAGTCTGAGTAAGTGCCTGAGGAAACGCTGTTATTCAGACAGTGGATCTTATCTGCTTCAGACTCATCTGTCGACTCTGAAACAAAACACAGCAAACATTTTCAGGAGGTGATGTTTGGAAACTAAGCTCCAGAAAAAACATTTTCAAATGCATACTATGGATATATATATATATATATATGTTTGTGTGCATAAATACGTACAAAATACATTTTATAATCAGTGAAGTATAGAATATGCTAGATTCTGTCTATGCAGATTATGTGTGCACCCATCTAAAAGGCTGGAAGTCAAGTTAGTACCTTTCTTGTCTTTACCCAGAAGAACAAGTTTGGGTGGGTACAACGGAGTCTCTGGCAGGGAAGGACGAAGTTCCCCTATCCTCATCTCACTGGCAGGATGTCCAAAGGCATCCTGAGGAATACAATAATGTAGAGTAAACATAGGAAACAGTGTCAACAAACATTTTAAAGCCTTCTTTTCATGAATGTGACAACACACCGACACCCCACCAGACAGAAATAATCTAATCACAATGATTCGTCAGCTGAAAATTCCAATCAGTCCCACAGAAATACTTCTAACGTGATGGTGATGCATTCATTTTGAAAATGTGGACAAAACAGATGGGACTGGTAGGATACATCAAGGCCGTGTAAACATTTTTGATGAAGCAGAAGTCACAAAAATGCAAGCTGCCAGTAGAAATAAATTAAAAAATAATATTAATATCTACTTCTAACTTCAGGAGTAAGTGTGCGTTCGTTCATTCGTTTGTGGCACTAGTCCTTCCATAGATTCAGGTCATGATGTTGCTACACTTCATTAAATTAAATAATTTGGGTTTCAAAAACTCCTCAGGAGTTCAGCAGAGTTCTTTCTGCAGACTTTCTAAGATTTCCCTGCACAACATTCTGCAGTTCCAGACAGCAATGGGATACATACTGAAAATAACGTACGTTAAAAAGTGGAAAGAAAATGAGGTGGGGTCTTAGTAAGAAGTATTTTAAACAAGTGCTTTTAAATTAGGCTCACGGGATAGCCAGAAGCAGGAAATTAAGACGAAAACAAGCAATTTGGGGGCTTTTTTTTATGTCACCACCGGGAAAAAGTTTAGAAATAAGAAAGGTGCTGTTCCCAAAGATGGGGAGACAGGGTAGGAGAGGATGCTAAGCGGAGGGATGGCAGAGGTAACCCTGCACCAAGGAGGAAGACAAACAATATGGGAAACCCACATTGGGCGTTAGTGTGTGGGATCAGGGGAACATCATGGGGAGAGAACTGGTGGGGATGGGTACAGCAAGACTGTGCTAACTAACAGCAGGGAAGATCCCTGTGGGAAGGAGTAAGAGAAACATGCATCGGCTTGGAGGTGGGAGGATGAGCTGTGATTTTGTAGAGGATGGAGGCTGGGAAGGAAAATACCCAGTGAGAAAGAAGACATTTTAGAGAGCTACCAGGAGAAAATGAAAAATCAGTAAAGAAAACGAGGAAGGAAACGGTTAGAAGAAACATAACTGGGAGGGAGCTTTCTCTTGTGGAGACACGATGGGGGACCTGTGCCCGGACCTTCGCTGTAAAGGTACTCCAGTGATCATGGGTCACACAGTTTTAGAGAGGAGTCAGTAAAGGTAGGAGGTGTAACATTTAGAGAATTTAAAACGGAGCACCAAAAACAAAAATGCATCACTGAAATGTAAACATTTTTTTTTAATTTTACTTGATTTTAACCCAAAAGAAAACCTCGAGGAAACTGAGCTCCATTAACGACTTTGTAACAGCAGTGGAAACGAAGATTTGTAGAAGCATTTGCTGAGTGATTTATTCTTGATGAATGTGATTAGATTTAAAAAACAGGTATGTTAATCCTTCTGCTTTTGTGTACTACTAGAGATAGTGCCATACCAACACAGAAAAGAGAAGGCATCCTCCCAACCCATTAACTTAACCCCATCAGTGCTAACGTTTATGCAAATACAGCTTCACACTGCATGCTGGGATACTGCAGGATTTTACTGCCTTGATGTACAGAGCTCCCTTGTGGTGCGTGTGATTTCTCACCTAACAGTACCAGTGTGCACACAGCTCAAAGCTAGCAATAGTGAACAGCCTTTTTCCAGTGCAGAACAATCATTTCTACTGCAGTGTAACAAACTTATCATGCAAAATGATTTTTGAAAAGTAACAAAGTGCATACATTCAGGGAGAGAGATTTTCCACTTTTGAAGCATGGTGCATGCTTCAAACTTATTTCTTGTTGTACCTCTGAGCTTTTTGTACGCTCTTCTTTCTCCTTCCTGTCCAGAGTCGATTTATGAGTGTTGTCTGTATCAGACAGTTGACTCTTATGGAATTCTTGCACCTAGAATCCCAATATTGTGCCATGAAACTTTCAAAAGTTAAAAGTTCAAAATAAAACTACTTGCTGTAAGGCAGGATGAACCAGCAGTTCCATTTTTGACATAACGATGAACACAGATTTTATTTTAGGGGTATGACTTTATGAAGTTTTCTATGCCATATTCTCTCTTTTCTATCATTTTAGCCTCCACTCTGGCAGTTCCAACAAAAATCAGTACATTTTGGAAAGAATTAGTCTGGCATTTGTGAACATGCCATGAAGTGAAAGATGTAAGAAACCCCAACCATATTCCATTTGCTACTACTTGGCTTAGAAGGACAAAAAGGGCACTAATGGAAAATAAAAGGTGTTATTGGATAGATCAGTTGTGAGGACAAAGGAAGGAGATGAATGTACTTGTGTTTTATTCCCCAGGACTGAACGCAGGAGGATATATGCTGAGGATAGAAAAATATGGCGAGCTGTTTCCCAAGAGAAAGCGCACGGCAGAAACCAGCAAAATAATCGGGAAAGAGAAATACTGTCTGACAACATAAAAACATCACATCAAAATCTAGAGAGCTGTGATTTTCGAAATAACCTCATTCTTAGGGTCTGCTTGCAAAGAACAGAAAGACTCTGAGCAGAGCAGCCCGGGGCTCGGTGCAGGGGCAGCACACAAGGCAGAGGCGATGGTGCAGGGCTCTTAGCCTGCACAGGACCAGAGGAACAATCTGCTGAGAGCTGGGGCAATCAGAAAGATGCCACGCCAGCCATACAGAAATCGAGAAGCAAACGCAACAAATACCAGATCCAGGCCAAGGTTACTTGGTCCAGGTTGTACTAAGGTTTTAATGAAAGAATAAAGATGAATCCCCTTCCATAGAAGTGAGGCCAATTCAGGCGCAGGCCCAGCTGTGTGTGTGTAGGACAAAGCCTTGCTGTGCCCCTCACCCAGGTCACCCCTCTGCAGGTCTGGGCTCCCTTGAGAGCTATAAAGCCTGGCTAACAAGTCCTCTCCTGGCAAGACCACAAGATGCAACCTGCCTGAAGCTGTGCGTGAAAACCAGTCATAGTATTTTGCTGATAGCAATTACCAGACTGACCAAAATAAAATGCAGCCATCAATCTAGAAACGTAGAGAGTCCCCAGAATGTGGGATTACCCCACAGGAATGCAGAGCAGAGGATCTTCCATCTGTTCCCTAATCTGCACCTCTCTAATGCCACAACAGCAGCTCCCAGGAGGGCCATTTCAGTGACCACAGACCCGAGGGCTGTCCCACGCAGAGTGTAATGATGAGATGCAAGTCCCTCTAAGGGACAGAACTGGTGGAAGGAAAACTGAATGCAGAACTGGAATCTGAAGGTGGGGAATGAAGGAACCCTCAAGCACATCTCAGCTGGTCCAGCAGCCAGCACACCATCAGCCATCTCCAGCAGGCATTCCCATGCAGCAGAGCTCTATAAGAATACACGAGCTTGCTGATTTGGTGACATAAGTACACAAGGAGCAGACTTGGACAAGGAGTTTTGGGGGCACTATGCAGTGAGACATAACAGGTCCTGAAAAACAACTGCCATGGGCAGGTAGGGCTGTTTCTGCTCTATGTTTCTGCTTTGCAGCCCCATGGACTGGCCAGCAGCTGGAGGAACGCACACACCAACCCAGACGGCTGCGGTGATCAGAAGTGCAGCATCCAAGCAGTGACCAGAACTCCCTACAGCCAAAGATGCCAAAGTCAGTAATGATCTTTTTATTGTGAAAATGTTTTTCTTCAAAAGGCCAGGCCTGTTTGCCGACATGGCCGGAATTCTGGAAAGAAAACCTGCAGATGCTAACCAGCCAGTGCTTAGTCATGAACTGCAGAGGATGGCAGACCTAGCAGCATCTTGCTAAATTATAAACCACGGACCTGTTCTGTTCTGTATGTGGTCTTCAGTGTGAGGACAGAAGGCCCAGTGCTGCCCTGAGTTACAGCACCTCAGGCTCTGAATTGCACTCCCTGTGTTCTCCCATCTCAGGAGGAAACCAGCTCTCAGTCCACACAGATATGCACCCGAGGGCAGACATATCACTGGGGTTGCTGCCAACAAAGAGAGTCTCGAGTCTCTTGGAAAAAAGTCCGAGTCCATGAGGCACAGACCAGGCCCACATGATGGCACAGCGCACCACGACAGTGCTGCACCTCCTGAATCCTCGTGCAGGACCCACGCCTCAAGACTGAATTTCTGGAAGGAAGGCTTTACCTTGGAGACAGTCCTGAATAATGCCTCTAACATCCAGACTCTTAGACAAGGTCAGGCAGCAGTCAAAGTAACTCAGAATTAACTTTAAGACGTTTGACACCCTATTTGGAGAAAGCTCTCTTGCAAGTCAGACCTCCAGAACAGAACACCATCACCTTCCTTCTGTGACTGGAAACCACCAAGGTCATAACCTCAATAAAGATGCTCTGTGCTATGGAGAAGTCATATGGCAAAACTCGATAACGAAGATATTTCCGGCTCCTTGTTAAATATAGGTCATTTTGTTGCAAAGTGCCCATCAAGGCACGGCCTAAAAGCAGACACAAACTGAAAACCTTCAGGACAAATTGCCCTCCCAGTCAGATTGTCATTGTGCATCTCAGGGGAAAACAGCTCCCATGACGGATACATCAATGAATGAACTGAAGCCAGGCAGCCCAGGGGAAATAAAAGCATGCAAAGTCTTTCTGGAAAGGCAGGATGAGTTTTAGAGACTCTCTAGAAGATCTGACTGAGCACAAAACAGAAAGAACAGCCTTCTCTCTCTCACTCCCACCCCCCTAAAACAATGCAAAGCTGAGCAAATAAAGAAGAAGGAAGTTAAAAGGATTGAGGTCTTGTTTTGACTGAAGAGAGATGAAGGTCTCAGCAGACCCAGCACAGCATCTGCAGCAGATTACTCAGAAGAAAACCATCTCTTCTTTCTACTCAGTGCTAATAAACCTGCTAGGAATTAACACAAGGGATGGAATGCTGCACTCTGGGTTAAAAAAGAGATTTTTTTAAAAAACAGAAACCTGGGAGTCGTGCAGATCTCTTTCCAATGATTTTCTCAGCCCATTCATACCAAGAATATTAACTGTGAAGATCGTAGTTGCCAATTTTTGGTATTCCTCACTGTCGCTCATGGAAGGGGTACACAGTGTTATCCCAACCTTCTTTTTGGCTACAAGGCACATCTTTAACAATGAAACACAGGACAATGAACAGGCTTATTTTAAGTGATGATTAATTAAGAAATTGCTTATTATCACTGAAGGTGGAGGGTGATGCAGGGGGTTTGAAATGTACTTTGTTATTCATTTCAGATGCTCCCTTTAATTATTTAGAAACAATTCTGTGAAGACACACGTGGAAATTAATTGCAAGAAAACCCAAGAGAGATCAGAAAAGAAACCAGCTGATCTGGCTTCAGAGGATGAAAAGTGAGCATTGCACCTGAAATTAAATTACCTTGTTATAAGATACTGTCTTCAGTCTAAATCTATCAGAACACACCTGCATTTTCAAACTGTATTTTAACTTGAGGCTTGAGATCCTGTCTCCTAATTATCTGCAAAGCAAATGGAGCTTAATTATGTTTTATTTAATATGTTACAACTGAAATCATGCCAATATTATTCACAAAATCATTCACACATTTTCTACACCCCTTCTTCATCTTTACACGGGATGCCAAAGAGAATAACACAGATACACCATCTTGCTTTCCTGCCATGAAAGCTTCCCAGTGATGCTATCTGTTTGAATGACAAGAACACTATTTTTTTCCTGTAGCTGAGCTATTTTGCTGCTGGCCCTTTTAAAGTATTAGGGAAAACAACATCTAGGCAAGGTCTACCATCTCCAGTATTGCAGTAAAGGAGGATGAAAAACACGTCTACATTGATAGGATGGAAATAGTTCATGTGTTCTGTGTTAGAATACAGTTTGTAGACCTGTCCAAGCACCTTATAACCTATCAATAAATACTGCCAGAGTGAGAAATTCCCCCTATGTGTAAGTCGTACCTACGTAAAGTAAGCTGTCAATATGAAGGCATCAATAAGCAGATGTCCTCTCAGATCAAACTGCAGCTGCTTACATCAGCTTTGCACAAGTCTGTGCAGCATTTTGGAATTACCTTTCATGAAATACACTTAGGTCAGAATAGAGAACTCTCACTATATGTGCTGTCCCACTTCTGGCCAACACACATGGCTGGGTGGTGCAACACACTGGAAGTCACCGGGCAGCGCTGATCTATGGCTCCCTGCGGTTAGGAGGCGCCTCTGTTGGCTTCATTAACTTTTGACAAGCCTTGCTGGCTCTGTATTACACGCAATGGGATTGTAAGAAGCAGAACCTTATGGTGTAGCACTGTCAACAGAACAAACTGATTTTTCATTTACATATTGTTGCAGAGATACATTTAAGTCTGAGGCGTAACTCACAGTCAGTTCCATTTTCTCACCAATAGGCAAGTTGGCCATGTCAGTAACATTTAGGAGAGAGCTGATACATATCAAGACAAAAATTCAGATCCAGCTAGATTTAAAATCAAAGCTTCAATCTGAAAATCTTAGTAGTATTGAGGAAAGAGCAACTCAGTATAAAACCAGGCTTACTTGGCAGAATTAAACTAGAAGCATTAGGCAAGAAGCTCACAGCAGATGCAGCACAGCATTTGAGGGAGTTATACTAAAACCCCGTCTTGAACTCTTGAGAGGAACAACGATCCTTTTACATTACCTCCACTGAAATCTCCTTTGGTGCCATGGGCCACTTGTGCTCATACTTGTCTTTCACAGTTTGTTCAGTGTTGGCGGTTGGTGCTGAGTTCTCAGGCCGTACTCCATGGCTTGTTTTGCCCACCAGATTTTGAACTGATTTTACCATATTCTTTAAATCCTCCGGGTATGGAGTGGGATAACGTTTTAGATTTATTTCAACCTGAACATTCATAAAAAGAATTAAAGCACAAATACAAAATGAAAACAGCATGCAAACTAAAACCATGGTTACAGTACTATGGCTAAGTGCAAATTCCTCAAATTGTTATTAGTCTATTTGAGGCAGCCTGTTACATACAGCTAGCCCTCACGGATTCTGCAGTTCTTGGACCAAACTTGGCAATCAGTTACACTATGGCAACTTATGATGGAATTCCAGTGACATAAAATAATGGATGGGCATGCTTCCCTGCAAGCCTACCTTTCACCCTGGGAGAGTATAGCATTTTAATTCTGCACTTGGCCTGAGAGTACTAACGTATTAAATCACACTTCTCCAAAACGATACTGATGCAAATGCAGAACTAATTGAGCTATGCTCAGCGTACAGAATTAATCAGAATTATCTATCATAGCTGAGAATGGAATCTGATCTACTGGGATCTATTTGCTCTTTGAGATGTGTAATGTACATACATGCACTCAAGTACGTGAATTCTGCTCCAGTATACAGAAATACAGGAAAACAGACTTAAACCACTACAGAAAAGTCAACCCGTGTCACACTGAACAGTACTTTGACTGACAGACCTACAGATTCCCTACAACAATCAACACTTTGAGCTTTTTGTTTTTATCACTCAGAAGTAAAGAAATATTGCAGTCATCCAAGTCCAAATCAATCACAGCTTGAAGACAGCACTACAAAATCTCAGGACTGAGCAACAGGAGAAGAGGGGCATGACACAGCACTGTCAGCAAACTGCTCAGAGTGGACAGGGTGGCAGGTTACCAGGCCAGGAGCGATCCAAGCAGGAAAGGAGACCTACTACATGGTGCTGGCCTCTCCTTACACCTCCCCATTGTGTCACAGACCTCTTTTGTCTGCTGTACGTCACATCCCCGCACGAGGAGAGATGCTGAGGAATCAAACGAAGCCTGACCTCAGCACGCTGCCCGTGGTGGAGGCTTCCCACCGCTGCTCTGCCCTTCCATAGGCAGGAGCTCTGACCCCAGGCACAGCCCCTGGGACGCAGTAGGTGCTGGCTCTACCTGCCATTCTCCTGGGCTGAACTTGGGGTGCGAATGCAGCAACTTTGAATTGAATTTCCTTCAGCAAAGAACAGTGGCAGCTCCCAGAGCAAGCTGAGCGTGTCAGGATAACTGAGCTTGCTTGTGAGGCTGTGAAATTTGAAATTAGTCTGTCTTTGCTGTGTGATAAGTAAGCAGAAGCCTTTACGGCAAAGTTTTACCCAATTGCCAATTACCCAGTTACCAATGAGGTGAGCAAAGGGAGCTTGCTTTTAATAGGTCACCATACAGTTATTGGATTTTACACCTGTGACAGGTGGGAAAAGGGCAATTTTGGATTCAGATGATTATGGTCTGTCAGTGGGAATATTTTGGAAGCAAAATCACGATCGATTTGAAAATAAAGCTATATAAAATACTAGCTTATAATTCTGAGCCACAGTAGAATAAACATTACATATAATAGATTCTGACATGACTTCAACATAAAACGTTAAAATGTATGGCTATGATGTCATATGTTAATAAAGAACTTCAACAGAAAAAAAGAAATTAAGTCTGTAAAGCATTACTAAGGCTGTGGTTGATTTACGGTTGAAAGAAATCATTTTCAGATGTGGCCTAATGAGGCAATTGCTTTTCCAGAAAATCCGAGCCATGATTTCAATGCAAAAGCTACAGACAAGCATAGAACTGCAGTCACAGAGCAAATCCTCAGTAAGCACTAGCCAAAGAGAAATTAACTAAAGGACTTCCATGTGATAGGCAAGTCAGACAGGGATTTCAGTAAGAGCCTGATATCGCTGGGCGTATTACACCATAAAATACTGGCAGCTGTGGTGGGTGCTATGCACTAGAAAGCAGATATTTTCATTGCTGACTTAGAAATATTGCTACACAGAAAACTGTCAATGCAACACCAAAATAGAGCGACTCTGAAAAGAGAATTATCAGAGTTCAAAATGCTTTAAGGAAGAATTTGTTGCATAATGTAGATCTTCAAATCGGTGTTATGTAGCGTGGATGGGAAGTCAGTTTTAAATATGAAATACATAAAATGAAAACTACGTGTGCTTTTATAAAATGCAAACAATGTTTGTGGTAACCACCCCTTGCTAATTTGGGATAACCTTCAAATTCATCCCATGAAGGTCCCTGGTATTGATGGGTATCTGGTGTACACACAGAGATAGAAAAGAGGAGAAACGCTCTCTTCAGGATGCACCGATGGAAGGACGTACCTGATCAGCTCCTAACTCTTGCTTAGCTTTCTGTTTAATAACTCTTCTTTAAGCAGTGACTAAGGTGTCAACTCCAAAAGGTAAAGTTTTGTTCTGATGAAGAGATACCGGGATCATCATGGAGGAGAGCACCGGGTTGGAGCACCTGACCTGCAGAGAAGGGCTGAGGGAGGGGGGCTGAGAGGAGAACGCTCCAGGGAGACCCCACTGCAGCCTGCCAGGGCCTCTGAGGCTGCAGGAAAGCTGGGGGTCTCTCATCAGAGAATTTTAGCTAAAGACAGGGGGTAATGGCTTTTAACTGGAAGAGAGGAGATTTGGAGGAAATTCTTCCCCACGAGGGCAGGGAGGCCCCAGCACTGCTGCCCAGAGCTGTGGGTGCCCCATCGTGGAGGTGCCCGAGGCTGGGGGTGGCCCTGGGCAGCTGAGCTGGTGGGAAATGTTCCCTACTTGGAACTTGGTGGTCTTCAAGGTCCCTTCCAACCAAACCATTCTATAATTTTATGGCTCTATGATTATATATGGAAATGGAGGAATCTTGTGCAGAAATAAGACTCGCACTGATCATTGGTTTACATTCTCTCCACAGGTGGGAGTCAAACAGGTAAGTAAGAACTCCAGAAAATATATTTTAGCGTTGGGCTCTTCCCCTACAGTGGCCCAAAGGGTAAATGCCGCCTTGGCTTCAGCTGCCAAGCCAAACATCAGGGACAGAGCAGCCCTGCAGGCCATGGCTCACCCACATGGCAAAGCCCCTCATCCCAGCAGGAAGGACAGGACAGGGCAGGCTGTCCTCAGCTCATCCCCAGGCATAGGATGGGTTGTGTGTCCAGGGCTGCTTCTGGGACACCCCAAGATGCGGCACTGGGCTCAGCGGCATTTGCCTCCCCAGTTCCCACACAGCAGATGGCAGCACTCAAACTCGACTATAGGAACAGCATTAGCTGAATGAAGGATTTCGTTTGTCTACAGAAATAGCTTACTCAAAGGAAGCATTGGTTTCAGTCATCCATAGAGTTCTGAAATATATTAAAACCAAAATGGCTACACAATGTATTTCTTATATTACATTTCAATACCAAAAACAATGCTCGCAAATAAAAGGTAATACAATTCAATTCATCTACAATCTTAAAATTATCTATTTCTCTGTGAACACTTTTGCACACCTGGACATGTTACTCACAGTCAAAGTTATAACAAGAAGTAGTAGAACAATGTGAAACTCCCAGGAACTCTGCTTTCCACACATAAGCTATAAATCTGCAGTTCATGTGGGGTAAAACTTCAGTTTAATCTATTTATTGTGAGCCAGATTGCTTTTTTAATTCATTTTCTGTTTTGCTAAAGTATTAAAGCAGTAGCATATATAACAATTATATTTGGTTGCAAGAGTTAAGTGAAAACTCCTGATTAGGAAAAATATTTAAACAAAAAATCAATTTTCCCAACAAGATCTAAATGGGATATTAGATATTTATTATTAACAGCTCTCATCAGCTTTCACCTGGAGAGGAATACAGAATCCCCACAGGATCTAAATATTTCTAAAGAATGATGTGGCTGGAGATTAATCCCAGGTCCCCAGCGTTCTGTGTTCATTTTGTCTTAGTGATGAAATGGGTGCCCCATTAGGTGCCCAACACTCGGCCTATGGGTCTGGACTGGAATGACTGGGATATCAGATCTCTGGTATCCCAGTCATTCTGCGTGGAAAATAACCGCAAACTTCCAGTTCTGTGCACCTCAGAGAAAACAGGGATGCTTATGAAATGCGGCCAAGTATTTTCTCATTATTCAGAACAGAGAAATAGTTCAATTCAGCATCTGTATTTTGGACCCTGTCTCTAATATGTGAATGCAAAACAAACAAACAAACAAACAAACAAAAACCATACCTTAACTTTCCCTGGATTTTCCTCCTCTTCCTTTTTTTCTTCAAATTCAAAGGCAACAGTCATACGTTGCTGTCTCTGCTCCTCCCACAAAGTAGGGTTGAAGCTATCACTGTCTGACTGGAAATCTAGTTAAATTGCAAGCAGCAATGCAACAGAACAAGAGATTAATGCCCTCAGCAAAGACTGGAAATCACCTACAAATAGAAGCTCTTGGGTGATCCTGAAACGTTGGATCATTGTCTCAAAACTGTTGAGGGGGCAATGGAAGTCATAACGAAAAACACCATTAAAAATAAACGCGAATGCTCAGATCACAGAGAGAATGGTGGAGAGCAAGAGGGCTTTGGGGCACAGCTGGAGGAGGAGCATGGAGGCTCTCTACCGGGATGCAGGGGCTTCAGAGCCAAGCCCTGGTTTTGTCAGGCTCACAGCTCTGCTCCCTGTGACCCTCTGTCTGTGTCCAACTTGCTGTGTTACACTTTTGTTACCCCTTTTTCTTTTTTTTAATAAACATTAACAGTAGTGGATATTTTATATGCAGCCCAAGGCAATTCCTGTTCTCTCTGTGCAGCCCAGGCAGGCCAACAGGTCGGACGCCCTTGGGGCTCCAGGAGGTGCCCCCACTCCTCTCTGAGAGCAATGGGCTGGAAGCAGGAGCCTTTGGTGCATGGCAGCACATGGGCTGCTCTGTGCACACCGCTGGCTTCAGGAGGCACAGACACTGCTGCACAGAGCCACCGCTGAGCCCCCAGACCCCACAGCCTGCTGCTGCCTCAGGGGGGAAGGCTGATGGTGTTTTACCTTCATCGCTGCGGGGTTGCTGGGGAAACATGTAGTTAGTCAAAACTCTCTGCTTCGTTTCCGGGTGAGCCTCAGTTTGCAGGGGGATGAGAGCCTTGGACTGTGTAGGAAAGGCAAAACAAAGAGCTGGTCACTGAGAGCACGTCTGTTAGCCAGGATGGAGTTTTAGCAGGCAACAAGCAGAAAACACAGGAATAACCAAAATTCTGAATGGAAAGAACCCTCTCCATGGGCCAAGCCAATGGTGTTTGGTGGCACTTCTACCTCTCCCATTCCTCAGTCTGCCTGTAACTCCCACCAGGATCGCCATACGAACTCTAACACCAGAAATACCAGCTGCATGCTTTAAGCCAGGATGCCCAAGGAGTGGGTCCTGCAACTCTGAGGGTGCTCCTGGTGCCAGCTGCGTGGAGGCAACACTGAGTTCTACTCAGCTGGCTATCATTATTGATGTGCTGTAATGCAGCACCCAGGAGCTACTGTCACAGTTCATGGATTAGAAGGTGATCTAAACCTGATCACTAACGTCAAAATGCTGAAAAAGCATTGTCTGCTTAGTTGGAAGTGTATGTTTGGTGGATGGGTAGGGGCATTTTTTATGGAAATAAGAGTTAGAATCCTAATTTAATGCTTGAAAATTTATTCATCCTTGTGTATTAATCCTCCCAGACTGTCTCCCCTCCCTTCAGCTTGAAGCCTTTTCCTTAGCCATACAAGCAAAAACTAAATTGAAGGGGAAATGCAACAAAGCACTGATACAGCTGTCCCTTTGCTTTGCCTCAGTGGATGGCATGCTGCAGGCAGCACAGCACAGCCCCAGCTCCTGTGGCTGCCTCATACAGATACAGGAGGGACTCATTCCCAGCAGCATCAGTATGCTCCTCAGCTTCAGTTAAGGAGATGTAATGGTTGATGCTGGGCTTTATTGTAGGGTGGGAAAGATGACACTACAAGAACTTACTGCAATTATTAAAACCCGCTAGGTATGTTGAACTTGTCTAAAGCTGTACAAATTGAATTTGTCTCCACTTAATCACATTCTGGAACTGCAAAATTATCCTATCCACCAATACTGCCAGGACTGATGGGGACTTATTCTAGTGCTCAGATGCTGGGTAACTGTTACCTAAGGAATTAATGGTAATGCCACATGAACTGAGCTCCCTGGAACTAAGGAAGGCATATCTAAAATTAAGAGGAACTTAAATGAGAATTTTCTCTAAAACAAGACTGAGAGTTGTTGTGCATCTTCTGTACATTTAAACTCTCACTGGCTTCACTGGAGTCTGAAATATGCAGGAAGGGAAGCATGGACAGGAAAAGGCAGAAGACAAAAATGGAGGGGTAGGGACGAATAAGGAATGGGACAAACTAAGAGCAAGGCTGAGAACAAAGCCTTGCCTCTTGGATTTCTGTTTACAGAACATTCTCTTGATAATTCTGATCACTGTTTACCACTTTTATCAGGGCACAGAAGGCTAGTTAGCAGCAAGCAATAAGCCCAGCAATGGCAAGTTTACCCAGATAATGAATGCCAGCCAGGACTGCCTACAGCTTGGTAGGGAAGTAGCAGCTGGGCTGGGACAGATCTCTTCTAAAGCTCTGCTGCAGTGATGTATGGCTACAGACCTCATTCATGGCCCCTGTACCTTACTAAAGAAATTATGAACGCTGGAAGCCATTACCTGGTTGTCAGAAAGCCACAAAGCTGCAAGTTCTTTGAGTTTAGTAAAAGTGAATGGCAAGTTCTTCAGCCTGTAAATGAGAAGGAAACAGCGTGAGTCCCTCACTGCTACATAATTCCTTCGATACACAGCATGATTGGCTTGATCAGACTAAAAGTGCTATCATTTCTTATCTTTATTTTCTCTCACATTTTGTTAAAATACAGCATTTTACTAAGGGGATGCCCCTTTAAGTACTTCCACATTAAGGGAGATACTTATACCCTATAACAGAAAAGATTTGGTCCCAGCAGGATGTATAGCAAAGTCCTACCAGCTTTCAGCACAGGTGACATAGGGAACCTTTGACTTACCAGTTACATTTTGGAACACAAATTACTCGAGGATAACGGGAAATTCATTTCTGCAGAAATGCCAGGTATAAAATCAAAATAAGACAAATTCACAGTGAGCCTAAATGGCAAAAAAAAAAAAAAAAAAAAAGCCTTTTCATGATATATGTGAATACATTGCCTAAAACAATCTGCATGTGGGAGCAGGGAAGAGGTGATGAGGTGGCTGTGGAAGCTCCAGCCACGCTTTCACAGGAAGCACCCTGTTCTGAACACGGCATTTTCTCTTTGCAGCCCATCTCAAAGCAGAGAGCAGCCCTGGTCACACGCTGCTGCTCCCCAGCTCCGCGTTACAGAGGGCTGCCAAAAGAAGCAGACGGCCAAAAGGAAGGACTGCAGAACATTTACTGTGATCTAACCACAAAAAGGAGGTGTAAATCCCTTCCCTGAGGGGCAGGCGAACTGATAGCACAGGGAGAAAGAGTGACAAACCTCCAGCAAAGACAAGCAGCCGCCAGCAGAACCCTCTGCCCCTCTACCAGCAAATAGCCAGAAATATCCCTACGGGATAAACCTATATATATATAAACCTATAATTAATGCCACAAGAGTCTCTGAACCTCCTGAGATTTAGTTTTCAATGCTGTCTTAAAATGCACACATCATCTCTGGAACAGCGCAGACTGAGATGTTCTTTATGCACAGAGGTGGCAAATAGGCTCTCACAGTTAGCATAACGGTTCTTGGTTCTCGTGGTTATCTGGACATTTTACTCAGATCCTTTTTTCTGTATAAAGAGACAAGAAGTGGCTTCTCAAGTGACCCCCTTATTGCTCTGCCTTTGGGACACAGCGTCTGCAGAGGTTGCTGCTGCTGCTCCCAGCTCACTCCAGTTGAGTGAGGGGTATCAGAGGGAGAACACACCTAGTAAACAGAAATGATGTGTGGCAAGGGAGTCCCCGGGCTGGTTTTACATTTCCAGCCAAACCAAACACAGAGTTCTTCATCTGTAATGGCCAGAAGCCCCGACACCTTGCTTTAAGTGTCTGAAGAGGATTGATTCTGAGGTGCCGTTAAGGAGAAAAGATGTCAAATCAGAGATCAGTGAATGGAGGCACCCAAAATCAGCACTGATTTTTGACAATCTGCCATCAAAATGAAACCCAGCCTCTTTTTCTGACTGCAACTTTTTTTTCCACATTTAAATTCATGACTGCTTTTCCAACTGTGTGAAGTTCATCAACATTTCCCCCCCATCTGCAGTAACAATGCAGCTGCATCTCTCTGACTTTCATGAACAATGGAATTACCAAGAGAGGAGGTTTTGCATTTTGCACACTTCAGAACAGGGCCTGCTGTACTTGCTGCTTACACTGGATTAGTTTGACCACCAAAGGTAAATACATAACTGTTCATCAGCCAAAACGAGGTCGTACCACCGTTACAAAGCACCTCCAATGTTATGCATAGATGCAGCTTCATCTACTTTACATTTACTTGTGTTTACTTTCCAGACTGTGGGCCAGATCCCATTTGGCCTGCATCAGCATAATTCCACTGGTTCCAAAGAACTAAGTCACAAACCTGGATTAAAGATTTGGCTTTCTCCTCTGTCTTTCAGCAGCACAGACAACGTGATTGGTTTGCTCTGCTTCCATGCACCTAACATGTGGCTGCAATCAGATAGTAGTACAGACATGGAAAGTTTATGACTGTGCTGCTCAAAGAGCTTTTCTTTTATACTAAATACTGAAAGATCTCACTAGATAGCATGGAAAGCTACATACATAATCGGTTTTATAAGTCTAAGAAAATATATCCACAATTCTAGATTAAACTTTAATGGGTACATAGATAATTCATTGAGAAGATGGTCAAATTAATTAACTTACAAGTAAGGGGTAAATTACACTGTATCAAAAGAACCTTTTCTTACTACGGAGCAAACAACGCCCTGCTGGAAGCTGCTGCTGGCCTGGGGCAGAGCAACCACTGTGCAGCAGCCTGGGCTGGGGGCAGCCTGGGGGCACCCAGGGGCTGCAGGCAGGGACCCCTCCAGCCCTCTGGAACACAGACACTGGGTCTAACACTCCACTGCACACATTTTCTTCCACAAACACGTTTCACTTCTCTGCCATTTTTAAATCCCTATTAACTTCAGTTTGGAATCTTTTAAACTGAGTTGTACGATGAGCCAGATGTGATCATAAAATAATCTCTCAGTGTTACAGATATTTTCTGTATTTGTATTAGGTTGAAGTACATATAAAACCATGCTAAAGCTTAAAGGTTATTAGCAGAAATATTTCTCATCAGTTGAGCTCTGAAGCACCAACTGATTTTTCAGCAGAACACCTCTGACCTCCAGCAGCCACTAAAGCATGAGATGCACGCGTCCTTCTCACAGTGTTTAATTTTCACAAAGGTAACGTTTTCTTATAAGAAAAGAAAATTTTTCCTTTGACGTCCTCGAGGTGAGTGAAAACAAACTAAAGCAAAATGGCACTTTTTAAAGGGACATCCCTGAGCACCAAGCTATTGGCACCCTGTGACCCCCAGCCTCAAGGAAGTGCTGTATCAGTGCGTTATGATGTGCTGGAATGAGGACACTGGGGTAATTCAGAGTAGCCCAGCCAGGGACAGCTCTCCATGGTCATGCTCAGCAAATGGACAATAACAGGGTTTTCAGAGCGTGAAAGTTCAAAAGAACATAATTCATATTAACTCTTTCATTTACTGCTCACAAAATCACTGGAGGATGTTAATGGCCAGAAGAATTACCTCTTTGTCAATAAGCAATATTGTACAAATAACTAAACAGGAAAAGATACACCAAGGAACAGTCCTACATTTTGGAACGCAACGCAATCTTATGCTTGTTTCATCCAACTTCTGTTCCTGATACTCAGTGTAGCAGTCAAGCTGTGACCCCGGGACAGAAGCACAAGCAATGCAAATACAGAAAGGTGATGACTGGTTAAGCTCTTCTGTAAGAACAATCTAAAACTAGAAGAAAGGTTACTTACCAGTAACCGATGCTCTTTGAGAAGTGTAGCCCAAATGTACATTCTAACAATTCTACCTCTCAATCACAGGACTCAAACCTGGAAGGACTCTGAGGAGAGAGGAGAAGCAGATGGAAGACAAATGTATCTGTGGACTACACACTGTGAAGAACACCGGTTACTGGTAAGACATCTTTTTTTCTTTGAACGAATCCCACGTGCACTCTTAGCAGTGAGCGAATCCAAGCAGCTCCCCCCAGGGACTCGCTACACGGTGGAAGTCTCTGCATCTTTCATGCATCAGTAACTGCACAACTACATTATCAGATGTGCATTGGCTCTTGAAGCACCAGAGATGCCTGGCAAAGGCAAGGATGAATCCCCAGGTAGTTGCACTGCAGGTAACCGGAATCAAAACTCTCCTGAATGCACAGGAAGGTGTGTGAAGCCACCTATGCTCCGGTCAGATGCACACTAACCCTCATTAGACTCCACTTAGCAATGTGATGGCAAGTTGGGGTTCAGTCCACTACTGCCTTTTATTATGTAGTAACAACAAAATGCTGCGTTTCCTGGGGATGAAGAGTCTGTGAAAGGGATGAAAAGGTTTGGACCTGTAAAGATAAAAGGACAGAGGGCTCGCAGCTACAGAGATGAGAAGGACAGATACAGTCTTAGTGCATAAGGCATGGGAAAGAAAAGCTGGAGTGTAATTATCTGGTTGAAGTTGAGTTACGATATGAATACCTGTAGAAAATCCTGAAACTAAAAGATAGCTTCTGGTCAATTCAAATGAACAAGGTCCATCTTAAAACATTGAGGGCCTTCAGAAGACAAAACAAGAGTGAAAACCTGTAGTAGCTGAAATCGTAGTATTAAAAAGGCTAGGGAGGGACTCCAAACACTGACCCACCTTCGAGCAAAATATGTCAGCTCACAAAAAAATTAAGATTCATTTTAGCCTGAGTGTATTGTTTGTCATGTTTGCCTCTTTTCTGAAAGATATCCAATGAGAACTTAATGGAAAATCCTGCACATGAAAAACGTAGGTATTTTATATTCGTAAGCAGACAAGCTCCAGGCAGTGCAAAGGATGGGGTTTTTCCTCATCACGTGCTACTTCACAGCTAAGTTGTCCATCATACCTTGTATGCACGACCATTTGGAGAGCAGACTGAAAACACTCCAAGCACTTTGGCAAGTTCAAAGCCACCAGAACCTCTGCACTCTGCATGCCTGGAGCCAGCCTGCACTCCCCATGTCATGAAGAACGTATCCAGATAGAACACTTTTTGTGGAAAAATGGCATCTCACAAGAAACACTCAAGTAGCCCAGCTACTAGCAGAGAAAGTCACTGGGATAAAGACAATGACCTAAGAGGCTACTGGACATGCAAGTTCAGTCACTGCTGTAGACACTGCAGGTAAAATTTGGCATGTGACAAAATAGAAGGAGATGGCTCTGATCTAAGTTATTCACTAGGAGGAATCTGCAGTGGGCAGATCCCCAGTGAAAGACTGCATCCCCTTTGTAAAATATATATCCATGACAATCTTCAAACATCCAGCACGGGCTGGCAGTCACAGCAGCAGGGTCTGCTCCCTCTGAAATTAACATGCAAAGCTGCACGAGCAGCCTAACAGAACGGACATGAAATCCTCTCCAGAGTCAGGAGCAAGAAAGTCACACAGAACTGACAGGCAAATTCTAAAGGAAATCTATGATCATACGCACAGTCCATCCCCATTTGTTGTGAGTACAAGGAGTGACTGCCAATCCTCAGGAGGTTTGGGTAAAAATTGGAGGTCTCATGCAAAAGATTCTGTCAGAGCAGTATGTAGTGTGAATGGGTCTTCCTTAGCAGCAGAGCCTGCAGAGTCCAGGGCTCAGCAGGTCTCAGAACAGGCTGCCAGGGAGAAGCCTGACCCCTGACCCAGGAGCTCCGTGCCATAGTACGAAGCAAGTGCAGAGGCACCTTGGATCTAGAATTGTCTTTCTGCTCTGCTTGCACGTCTGTGTATCTTCTTCCGATGGCTCAAAGGGAAAGAGCTGATGTGCTCTACCTCCTCTGTCATAGCTGAAGAAGGAAGAGCAGAAGGGCAAAAGTATTATGATAACATGGAAAAGTTCCTAACCACAAGCAGAGCCCGAGTACAGTCCTTATTAGCATGTATACGTGAACTCATTCAAAGAAGAAACGGATATTGCCTTACTGCTAACATACATATGAAAATGGAAAATGGAGAAGACCAAATGAATAAATAAGGATCCGGCATTAAGACTGCATCTGAGCTCTGTGCAAACTCTTCGGCGCTGAAACTTTGGAACATCCATTTCACTAAGGTAGGAAGTTCCACAAAAAAGAAGAAATCAGCATGGTCACAGCGTGTCAGCAGGGCAACAATCAACCTCAGGTGGAACTGATGTCAACAAAGCAGGAAAAAAATCCCCCAGGCCCCTCAGGAGGAGGGAATCTGTGTGAGATATAATTCAACTGTTCCTACCTCTTCTAGTTCAGACCACTCTCCAGCTAGCTCTCTGATGGCTGCAACTCACTGCACAGCTTTTCAGGTTGAGCTGAGAGAACAGCTTCCCACCCCAGCGAGGAAAGGCTGTCTTCTCCTGCCCTCCCTTCCTTCCTGCCTTGGTGCACAGCCACCATGTACCTTCAACTGCCTTTGGTGTTTGCTAGACACCACTGAAATTCAGCAAACTGAATATGTGGGGAAAGTTAGAATGTGACCACAACAACAAGATAGATCACTTCTAGAAGTTTTAGGGAGTCAGGCCATCCCAGCCGCTTCTCTGAGTAGCCCTGAGAAAGCACAAGGAGATGTAGGGCTATTAGCCAGCAAGAAAGGGGAGTGGGAAGGACAGTGATCTCCACGCCCCAGCCTAAGGAACACCCCGAGATGCCAGTCTCAGTGTTTACTCCACAATGGAAATCCCTCTGCTTTGTTATCTCTGGGCAGCCAGAGAAAAAGGCAGCTGGGCAGGAGTGCTGCTTTCATGGCAGCCAGCTGTCAGGTCAGCTTGCTCAGGAGACCTGGCATACTCCTACACCTCTGCTGCCTTCTCCCAGCAGCAAGCCACCCCCTCCCTGTCACCCCAGTAACAGCACTCAGAAAGCAGTAATTACAGATGTAGTCATAGGCTGAAATCTGCAGCTGACTCAGCAAAAAGAAAGAAAGAAAGAAGCGAAGAAAGAAAAAAAAAAAAAAAAAGAGTAGTTTTCTTCTTCCTCAACACACATTCATGGCATAATAACAGGTTCGAAAAAAAGGTCCGAGATCCAGCTTAGAGTGGTTTGATGTGCCAGGGAAGGTACGACAGCTGCAGCTCCCTGGCATCTCCAGAGCACACTGAGGTGCTCTGACAGCCCTGCTGCCCCTCCAGCTGGCTGTGTGCAGTAAGGTGGGGCTGCCACTGGAAGCACCCATCTGAAAACTCAACACGTGTCTGACAGGCTGCTTTCACCTGCATCCCTATGCGTTCAGGACCCCCAGCTGTCTGGACAAAACTGAGCTAGGACAGGACAGGGCAGATGGATGCAGAACAGTGTGGGGAAGCTGACTGCTGTGCTGGGGAGAATGCTGGAAAAGAAAGAACTCAAAATGTGCCTGAAACACAGCTTCAGGCTGCAGGAGCACAGGTAGGAGCACAAACCCCCAGCACTGCGGTGTGCTGATGGGACAGAGCACCCACGTCCCTGGGAAAGCACTGGGACCTGAAACCCAAGGTCAAGAAGATCTAAGATCTGATTCTGGGACTCGGGCGGTTTCCACAAACCTGGAGCTCAGTTTAGCTTTACATACCGGTCTGTACATAATGTATTTTATGATACACAATTGCACCGAGGAAAATGATCTAATGGAATTAAGCGAACCATTTTGAACAGATGTATTACAAGGATATCAACAGTACTGGATTTTATACTTTCTGGTCAGCCTTAATTTAACAAGACTGCTGACAGTAAATTGGACCAGGTACACAAAGTGCTTCCCCAGATATTTACTGGATACGAGTGATAATTAGTTGAAACAGAAAAGTGTTCACACACTGACTATGAACACATTCTTGGAGCACGTGAATCTGGAAATTCCATGGAAAAGTCATTTCTGATGGCAGTCGGAGCACAGGATGGAGACCAAGAAAGCCTCACAGTAAGCACTGCATTTCTCAGAACAGCCATGTGCATGAGAACAGAACCTGGTGGGGTTCTGTTGGCTTTTGGCAGGACCCTCACCCCACTGAAGGGAGCAGAACATTTCCTTTTGATTTCGGTGGAGTTGGGGTGGTATTTCACGTGCTGGCATGTAATGATCTCATACAGCAGCTTGTCACAATTTCCTTATCAGGGCACACAACACTGAATTATAAAAATGCATCCAGTTTTAAAGCCAAATATCTCACTTTCACATGGAAACAGCAGCAGACAAAATAAGCAAGCAGCATTTCATCTCTGATAGAGCACTGAGAGTCAGATCCTTGTCCCGTTCCAACTTTGCTTTGGATGCCAGTAGAATTAAAGCCAAACCATGAAGATTAATCAAGATATTTTTCCCCACAGTTTAAAAATTTCAAGTATTTATAAACACAATTTTATATGTTTTGTATGCATCTGCATATATTATAGAAATATAATTTAACAAATGCCTAAAAAGAAATAGCTATTTTTTTAAAACATATTCTCACAACGTGAGATGGGAACATGATCTGAACCATACCTGTTATCACTCAGGTTTAACACTCTCAGCTTCTGCATCTGACCTATTTCATCTGGAAGAAATTCCAGTTTGTTGGAGCGCAGGGACATCACGGTTACGTTTTTGCAACTTCCAATCTGTGAGAATGGGAAAAAAAAAGCAAAGATATAATAACACTCACTCTGAAAAACATTATCATCATTCACTCAACATCAGAAGGTGGCCAAATTATCTTTTTTTTTTTTCTTCCCATATAAATGACAAAGAACAGCAGAGTCAGAAAACACTGTCTTTTGACAGAAACATCAGGGAAATGCACTTTGCTACCTGCACTGCTGCTTCCCAGCAATGCTCTCCCTTTTGCATAAAAATCAAATTGTTCATTTGATTTTTACCACTTTACTGCTTTTGCAGTAAATTAGTTGCTTTTAGGGCCTTAACAGGGATGAAATCTGAGGCCTATCACAAAACATTCTGACGTAATTTGAAAACAGAATCAGCTTCTCACTTCTCTGGGCAGCTCAGGAAGGAAATTCTCATCCACAGCCAACGTCCTCAGGTTGTGAAGGTAACCGATGGTAGAAGGTAACGACTCCAACTCATTACAGCTGCAGTCAAATTCTTCTAATAAAGATAAACTGAAATTGTAAACGCATTTGTTAGATGCTGTGTGGGGGTTAAGTAACAAAAATTTGCCATCTAAAACCTTTGGAAGTTTCGAATCATCACAATTCTGCAGCCATTGTGCCCTGAAGATGGATTTATTACAGATTTCCCAAGAAGTCTACAGTAACAACATTAATTGTGCTGCTCATTCAAAACATGGAATAAAAGTTTTGTGACTCATTGAGAATGCCACCGTTCCCCACTTGTACTGCCCTTTTTTGCTCCATGCATACTGTGGTTTTTCTCTCAGGTGCTCATACCAAATACGTGCATGAAAGAGGGAAGTCCAACTCGAAAGCTTGTTCAATTAAAGATGCATACATTCTTTCTTTTACTGATGATAACGGAACCAGAAAAGCTCAAGAACTGAAAAGCCAGTTTTGGACAACTGCTTCTAATGGAAACTGGAAGCTCTCATCCACTGAGCTGTAATGGTCAAGAGTGACTTGACTTTATTTGAAAGATATTGTCTGGCATGGATGTTCTCAGCTTCTGTTCTTCCTGGTGACTTCGTCAGTAGACAAATGAAGATGGCCACAACAAAAGCAATAAAGTCCTCATGAAAGTGTGCTGTATCTGTAACCACCATTGCAAAGCATTTAGTTCAGAAAGTGATTTACCATTCACCATGGCTTGTGGATGAACGCTATGTTGAGAACAACTGCTATAATTCCAATCATGCTAATTTAGCTGAAATTTCATTAGCTGTAATGTATTAACTTTAATGTCTTCTTGGGCTTGAAATCTATGGAAGAATGATCTGAATTTAGAAGAACAGACAAAAATCAGTTGCATGGGCTGCAACTTTTGTATCCAGAAAGCAGAAGCAAGGGCACTCAATCAGGTCCTGTGGATACAGGCTCCTGCCCCGGGTCCAATTCCTAAAGCCCTTTATGTAAATCCTCTGGTACTATCAAACAAGGGAAAGATAAATACATGCTTAAGTGTTTTACTAAGCTGAGTCTGCTGAGCATAGCATCTTGCAGGTCCAACTCCAAATGCCATTTGCAGGCTCGTGCTCCAAACACGCCTGCCAAAAACGAGGGTGGCAGTTCACTGCTAACAGCACTGACTCAGGCAGTGCTGAAATGCTCCGTGGCTCATCAGGAAATTGGTCTCTGGAGGGAGAATTCCCTCCTCCACATTGCTAATCTTTGTGTGAGAATAATACACTCTGCAGTGGGTACCGTGCCTATCATTATGGAGAAAGAGGCCCAGTAGGAAACTATCCAAGTGGATGAGTCAGAGAAAGGAAGTTCATTTTGATGTGGGAGACACCGTCCTCATTAAGTGAGGGAAAGTGCTACATTTAAAAATAACGTGGTAATATTGGGTGATCAACCTGCTGTTCTGCAGTCACACCTTTCAGAGCAGCAGTACACATCTCTTACAAGACAACTGTGGATCCTCGACAAATAGTACTGAACAGATACCAAGCAAGAAAAAAAAGATGGAATTCCCTTCAACCTGAACAATGCAATCCGTAAGAAAACACTGACATGACAGCTTTAAAAAAATGACTCCCAAAATTGCTAAAGGTGACGTTGGACACAACATCAACTTTCCTGCAGTGTCCAACACAGCTTTGAGCCTCGTCAGCTCTCACTGTCAGAAGCGATTGCTGCACAACCAGATTTCCATTTTATCACCCATGCAGCCAACTTTTAATGCACACCATCAATATCACATCAATATAAAGCACTACAAGAAGTGCATCGCAGGAAGCCAAACCTCGGGTTTCAGTTGCTGCAGTTTTCACTGTCCACTACTTTCTCTGATGCCATGTAAACAACAAAATTATCACTGAGAATATTACTATAGAATGGGCTCAGGAGTGGGACAGCACTGGCTATGGAGGTTAGAGATTATTTCTACTCTGGAGATCTCACTGTGCAATTCTCTGCTGGAAGGGATGTGTGTCATGCGAAGCTATAAATCGAATCAAAGACCTTCTTCCAGGAATGGCAGAATAATCATACTCCAAAGCAAGGCAGCTGGTTCTTTGTATTGCTTTGGGGAAAGGCCTGGACCTGCTTTGAGTTTTACAGCAAGCTGTGGCTTTCAGGCAGGCAACACACCGAGGCAGCAGAGGGAAGCTCTGTGCGCAGCAGCACCACGTGGAATTTTGCACCAAAGATCATGCAGTATCTGATCAAACTTCAGCAAATCAGTGCTTTTATGGTATTTTCACTGTTTCTATGCATACACCCACAAAATTGGCATGGCTTTTTCATTTATGCTCCTGCAATATTTTAAGGCACCTTAATATGTATGTGGCATACAGCCATCTTCCTTCCAACATCAGTCCCGGCTGTTGCTATGGAAACTGCCATTCCCCCAGTTCTTATCTTTCTTCTACTTTTGTTGCTCTAATCATCCAAACTGCAAGTGATTCACACCAAAAACACCGCTTCATCCTTTGTCTTGAACAACATGGTACATTTCACCTTCCCATCGCTTACGCCACTGTAAGTCCACAGAAGCTGCTCCACGTGTCGGCATGATGAGCTGTGTGTCAGGGGCACAATTTGGGATGATTTTGTAATTCAGGGCATCTTCTTTGTCTTACTTTTGATCTCAGAAAAAAAGCAAGTTGGAGGGAAAAGATTTCTCTTGATACTCACTTTCCAATCGCGTTGGGCAAAATTGTGAGCTGATTGTCATCCACTTTTAACGTGGTGAGCCTTTTCAGCAGCCCTGCAGAACAGGAAAGGAAGGAGGGAAGAAAAGTATTCCACATCCATCTTAACTTTCTGTAATCTCCAGTATTCTCATTAAACAATAAACAAACACATTCCTGCCCCATTGAAAATATTCCCCATTACAATGCAGCGCAGATCAAACGTTGAGCCGAAATGCAACGAGTACAATATTAAGTGCATTCTGAAGTGCTGAAAAACGTGGAGAGGAATAAAAAGGAATAGTACCCTGTGGCCTGATTAAAAGGTGCTCAGGTCCCAGAAGGTCCCCAGCAAAACTATCTAAAGTAAATGCTGCACTTTGAGTGCTTCACAGTATGTAGGAACAGACAACCAGAATCAGTCCTGAAGGCACTTGTGCATGCAGCTAATTCTTTTTGTTAAGAGAACTGCTAGATATTGAAGTGTCAGCAGATGCATTACTAGGTAACATTTATCCAGGGAATGACACTTCTGCTTTGCACTGTGAAACAGGGAGATCGATACAATGGTAAAGAAAGAAAGGATAGGAAAATCATTGCATCACAGTGGCTGAAAATGAGCTTGATACAGTCAGAAAATAAGATTCCCACCTTCTGGAAGTTGCTGACATTTCAAAGTCTGCTTTTGCCCTGAAGGAGTTCTGGAAACTCCAAAATAGCTTTACAAACATTTGTAATCAGCATTGGTTATAGTATAAATTAACTATTTACATAGAGCTAATTATTAAGTGGAATGCACCATAGTATGAAAGCTGAAGCAGATGAAAAGTACACTTCAAAGGGATAGCAGAAGCATTACTCACTTCCATCATAGTACATTTCTGTTGAAAAGCCAACATGTTCCAACAAACATCCAGGCTTCAACAGCACTGTCTTTTAAGAGGAAAAATTTCTACCAAACAGAACTGCAGCAAGCTGTCACCTGAAAATGCAGTACTGAAATGACTCTTTCTGCTTTGCTTCAGTTACACCTATTATGATTCAGTAATAGGAATTTGGAAATGAGCACTGAGTGCACAATTCACAATGTCAGCATCCTTCTGTACCAGAGTTATGTAACCTTGAAAAATCAATCTGCGTATGCACATCAGAAAACTCATTGAGAATCAACTGCAAGGCTGATGGTGAGATATCGCATCAGAGCAGAATGGGAAATAGCTGTAGCAGTCGCTCAGTAACGTTCATGCAGTAGAGTGTTGTTGGCCAGCTATACAGTCTGGAGGCTTGACTCTGATAATTGAAACAGGGGAGGGTCCACAGTGCCACCATGCTGTGTATCTGGGGGCTCATCTGCTGGAAGCAACAGAAGAGAGCAGGGACCAGCAGTGCTCCTGAAGCAAACCTGAGGGATCGGCTGCTCAGAGCCTCGTACCTACAGACACCTTCCAGAAATCCTGCGTTCTAAATAATTCAGGAATTCTATATGTGCAGTACAGTCAAAACAGAAAAGGAATAGGTTGAACTATTTCTTCTTTTAATGCCATCACTGCAATTGCACTACTGTAACTAGTTTTCTTCAGGAGTTTAATACTATTAATATAACCACTTTTATATTCCCATCCTAATTCAGACCAGATCAATAGTACCTTTATTTAGTTTCTTGACAAATACAACTCAGAATAACCTGGAGCCCCTAACTATGGATTATTTCTTTTTTTTCTGACGTTCAAAGCAGTCTTTATGGACTGCCCCAATACCAGATGTATGAGTGCCCAATTAATTCCTTTGGAGTTTAATGGCAGTTCTTGTTCCAGCTTTATCACAAAGTGTAAAAACAGGAGCTTTTCTCACCTATGGAGTCTGGCAGTTGCTGCAACATATTTGATGACAACAGGAGGTCTTCAAGTCCTTCACATCCCGATATGTCCAAATCAACAGTTTCTATCCTGTTTTTTGACATATCCAGGTACACGAGCTGTTTTAACTTCCCTATAGACTTAATAGCACGTTACAGAGCGTTACTTCAACAGATAGACATGGCATGCCAATTTCCAAGTTTAAAGACCAACAACTGCAATACAGACTTCTGGTTATCACAGCATGCTTTTCTATCTGTCTCACTGAATCAGTATTGGGATTTCTTCAGGAAGCTGCAGAAGCAAAGGCATGGGGCAGAGCTGAAAACCAGTTGCTCTGTGAGCCCAGGTGATAATTCTAAGCCCTATGAAAATGCTGCCCATTGCCATTAAACCAGCCTATAATCCTGCACCAAAATAAACAATGAACTCCAAACTGATTCGGGTGCTCTGGATTCATTAAATCTGGAGGGAATTTGAGTTCTCAGTGCCACATGGCTTTATTACTTTCTTTGGTTGGACCTGGATCCCAGGGACACCACTCAGCTCACCCACCCACAGCAGCACTGGGGCAGCAGTGCATTTCTGTGTCATATCGACTGCCTACATTTTGTGAAGTCTAAAATCAGGTTTCAGACATTCATAGTTCAGTTATGAGAGGTTAATCCCAACAGCTATAACATCAACGAGCAGCTAGAGAAAAAATTCTCAGATTTCTTTGAAAATCCATTGGCATGTGGAGTCTGAAGCCAACAGAAGCAATCTGCTTCTTGGTCCATTATCACAGGACGGTCACTTTGTTCTAGACATGACATTTCACCAAGAAAATCAGCAAAATTGATGCTCTTGCTTTCCTTACACTGAAATGTACCAATGGTGTCTGAGAAGACAGTGGAAAACAACTTCCCTCGCAATGCAAATTGCAAATTGCACAAGGCTCAGATAAAACAGGTACACTCTGATTTAATTACTATCACATAACAGCACAACATTTGGAAGGTCTTCATATGCATGGCTATTTTGAGCCTTTTAGTTCCTGGTAATGATATGAGAATTAACTGAAAATATGCATCTATTCAGGAAATGCACATGCACTCATTTGCTGCACGGTGAACTGTTCATCATTAGTGCCATAGATTAGATTACATAAAGTAAGTGTTCATACCCCAGGTAGTATTTGCAGAGAATTATTGTCCATCCACAATTCCTTCAGATTCTGTATTTGTTCGAGAACCTCAGGCTGGGGAAAAGAACAGATCACATTATGGACACTTCCATCAAATGTGTCAGTTCAGCATCTCAGCACCTTAAGAGAGACATCTAAATATCTCCTGTAGCCTAAATTCCTTGGAATATTGCAACTCCCATAAGAAGTTGTCTTCCTGTTGCCCAGCCACACGGTGCATTGGGCAGGAAGAAACCCACCCACCCACAGCTCAGTGCCTCCATTCTATGTGCAGTCACATAACACGTTTCTATTAAAAAACAATTAGTCAATAATTGGAAGGTAATTGATTTTGCCTGAGCTAATTCTATTTAATTTTCTTTTTCTTCTTTGATGGTTAAAATAACTACTAATTTCCAGGTTAAGTTAATTAGTGGTCATTTTGTGCTATTTGTTCCTGTGATGATTAACGACTCTCTTTTCCTCCGGTGTTCACTGAGGTTAATATAGATGATCATAATTCCTCCCCTCAACCTTAATTTTCTTCTCAACTCCTCTTATTAGACAGACACCTTCCCAAAGGCAGCAGACTGCTCCTATTGCTGCACGTGGCCACAATGCCTTCATGCCTTTCAAGTCCGATGGCCAAGCCCAGAGCACAAAATGCCACAGGTGTCTGTGGAAAAGGGGCACCTCTTACCAGTTCAGAAAACTCATTATTGCCCAGATCAAGTCTCTCCAGCTGAGTCAGCTTGTGCATCGACCTGCAACAGATAAGGAAATATCTAAGGTGGAATTTTTCCTAGGAAACAGTTGGTTACCTTTTCCTTAGATAAGACTAAGGCTCAAGTGATACTGCTGTTGTAAAAAGAGTTAGACCAGATGGAAACTGCAAATGAGAACAAGGCACTCCGTTTGGACATCAGCTGAAGTTCTGGAACCAGAAAACTAGCAACAATTACACCAATATCACAATAAAATCTTGGTACACTTCTGCATGGTTTCTCAAGGAAAATGACTCATTTGCAAGCAACTGAAAACTGTATCAATTGTGATAACTAAATTTGTTCGCAAATTTATGATTGGTTTCTTTATGAGCTTCTAAAAAGCATTCTAGCTTTTTGCAGCAGAAATGCAAAGGGTGGCTGTTACCTCCTCAAAGCTGTAAGAGCACTGACCTGGTGTTGCAAAGGGATGGAAAGCAGCACACAGGTTTCAAACTCAGGGATCAGTTTGAGACCCGAACCCCTGGGCTGCAGGGCACAGCTGGGCTGGAGAGGTGCAATGCAATGCCAGCCCCAGCAGCTCATCCTCCTGCCCAGCATTATCAGAGAGAGTGGGATAGGAAGGCAGCATATGAAAGCAAACAGAAAGTTAATTTCAAACGTGCATTATGCAGTAAAGGGCTTTAAATGGGGAATCATCTGGATTTATGTCTGCAATGATCACCGTGTATGTAGCGGCTAAAAAGGCACTTTTGTTGCTTGGGCACAGGTAACTCAAACAGTGAAATAAAAGTGAAAAACGACTGGGTGAGACTCTTGATTTAAGGAAGTGAGTGGGATAAATCTCCCTGGTTTATCTCCAAATTTACGCTGTGAGAAAAAATGCTTCTCTCAATCACACGTGAGAATCACACGTGGCATCCATGCTCACCAACTGCAACAAGCACTTAGAATCCATCAGTACGAATACAGGCAAACTTCTAAGAACACACAGATGTTTAAAAAGCAATGCTCAGAACACAGCACAGGCATCGACCCAAAGGAGTAATCCCAAAACAGCAAAGATAATTTCAAAATGGGAAGAGAACTGCTGAGCAACTCTGTAACACCAGCTGAAGGATGGAAGGGATTGCGATTCTCTTACTGGGGAGGTTCTTCTGCTCTCATATAGCACACAGCACTGCTCACATCCCTGCTAGATGCAGACTACTGCCACTTCACACGCTCTACAGTGTCAGAATCTACAATGTACAAAGCCAAGGCTGGGAAGTTGTATTCAAAATTACGACGACACTTGAGTTTAAATAGCATCTTCATTTGAATATATTGATCTCCATGGTTTATGATGAGTGACTTGATGTTCGTAAGTGATTTTGAATAGCACAGTCGATACTTTATAAAAGAGGTTATTAAATTTAAACCAAACAGCATTATAAATATTTCATAAAGATTGTAATCATTTTGAAAAACTGGAATAATAATGCTCACATTCCTCCAGTGCTGCACTAAATGAGGCATGTGGGACAGGGAAGTGCTGTGCAGGGGTGCAATGTGCCACAGCGTGCTGCTGCTGCCATCAGCCTTCCCTCCTGCCAGTGTCCCTCACCCAGCTTTGGCTCTGCCAGCACTTCCTGGCATTATCTGCAGGTCAGCCTGGGCCAGGATCATAGAATCACAGAACCATTCAGGTTGGAAAAGAGCTCTAAGACCCCCAGCCCCATCCCATCCCCACCATGCCCACTGGCCGTGTCTGTAAAACTGACCCCTTCCAAAAGGCACAAAACACAGCTGTCCTGTTATGGATAAACTTCAAATGCAGTAAATCCAATCCTGCCTTTGTTTCCATGGACGTGACTCTGCTGCTGCAGAACTTCTTGTTCAGTCTGGTAGACCAACATGCTCTGAACACAGCACTACATTACGGTGGTGATAAATAAAAAAAACAGAAAGAAATAAAAGGATACAAATAATTAAAGAATTTAGTACAAACTAGAACTACTCTACTACTTAGAGGCCCTCTGAAGTACTCAGAGTTGATCCTAATCCAAAAATTATCACAGTCTCTACCGATGGGACTGCTGCTATTGACCATTTTATCTCTGTATGCTGTAACAGAAGTAAAGCCCATCATTAAGGATGCTACAATTAAGCAGTGGAGATTTGCTTTGACATTTCAATTACAGAAAAATGATGTGATAGGGTTGGATAGAGAACACTGGGCATATTTATTATGAGAAAACTTCAAGTTTTGTTTTCTAAAATACTTTAAAAAAAATCGTTTGACAAAAATGCAAATACCACCCTTCAGTAGAAGGCCTTTTCTGCTAAGCATATGCTATTGAAATGAAAAATCATGTAGATAAACAAATACTTGGCTCTTACGCTTCAGAAATCTTATATTTTATTATTTTCTTCAGGCAAACAGCCTCCACAACTGACCTCCTGCATTCCTCCATCTTTCAGCTCAACTCAAGGAATGAACATTAGGGTCACAAAGGAAGACCAAGCATTGGAGGCGCTTCTGTGCTTTGGAGAAATTAATGTTCTGCAGGGAAGAGTTGTTAGAATACATCTGGGCCTCTCTGGTGGAAAAGTAACACCTATTTGTGGAAGACAAGGTGCAAACCATGACGATGTAGTTCAAACCTAAAGCACGGAGTGGTTAAATCTGAAACAATACTTATCAGTGTAACTATGATTAGTCAAGACTGAGTGCACATGATTAAACAGAAAGTGGCTTTTTATACACTATACCGTGACCCCCCCCTTCTAAGCCAGTAATAGAACTCTTGATTGATTCTCTCCAATTCCCAGCCTACTTCTTACTGCATTTTTGTTCCTATAGTATTCATTACTTTGAAATATTATTGCTATAAAACCAAAAGAGATGATGAAAATATTTTATCTTTCAGTAGCATCTCTTCAGTCTGCAAGAGCATCTGGAAGACTGGGAGCCATTCACAAAGCAGTAAGTGCTTCACTGGCACAACACACGAAGGCAGTGAAGGATAATGAAGTCACCTGCAAGCACGAAGATTTTCCACTCATTTCCCCAAAGGGTTCTGTTTGATATTATGCTCTCCATTAAAATCTTAGCTAACGATGTCTTTAACCCCTCTGGTCCTCTAACTCCACTGTAATTCTCTTTGGAAATATCACGAAAGAGCTGACTGTAATTTTACAAACCCAGACAAAAGCATTTTTTGAACAAAGCCTTAACATGCTTAAGTCAGATCAGTTACATTCAATACCTCATTTAATAACTTCTAAGTCACTGAAAATGTTTAAATCTGGTCTCACTTGCCGCATTGGAAACTTTCACCATTGTGCCTTAATTATTATTAGTCCAGTTCGCATTTCTGACGCTCAGGTACAAGATGCAAATATTGAATACAAATGTTTTGTAATTAAGTCATCTCAATGGAGAAAGCAGTTCCACTAGTAATTGCAAACACCTTTTCACGACAGACTGCCTCACTGCCACTAAGATTCTCATTAACTTTATGAGGATCCTTTCCATGAATGCACATTTCTCTTGCAGTACACATGCAGGACAAATGACTGCAATTACTCAACCACCATTGGCCGGTTGCTGCTTTGGAGAGAGCACCTCAGCACGTGAGCATTGCAATTTCATCATTACCTACACCCGCAACGCTAAAGGTTTTCCCATCAGAGCACTGGCTGTATGCACACTCACAAGTGTTTCACTCTCATTTCTGTGTTTCATGTTTGTATTCTATCTATCTGAACGTAACATTTACTTTAAAAGTTGTTTTACAGCACTGTAAATTGATTATAGAAAATAACTTTTAACTACAACTTTAAAACACAATGGCACAGTTTCTCATGACACACAGACACATAGTTTCAGAAACAGCAGCATTTGCATGGAGGCAAATGAATTTCAGCTATTTGCTATGGGACTCTGCCAGAAGACAAAGCACACTGGAAAGGTACCCACAGGGACGAACATCCCACCCCATCTCCCATTGCTCTGTGATATTTTTGTCTCTTTCATACAACTACTTGTATTTTTCTTCCAAAAAGATCCATTACACTTCTTCATGTGTGGTCTTTTTATGACGGAGGAGCGGGGAAGGTGCAATTATGAGTAATGCTCAGTTAAATATTCATTGCTTCAATGACGTAATGTAATTTAATTAATGCGATAATAAAACTTGCAGCCAAATTTTTCACATAAATCTTAATCCAGATTTGGATCCATTCCTTCATCCATAGCAACTGCAGGAGTTACATGGAGGAGATTGCAGAGCTCACAGAGGGGTGCGCTGTGCAGTGTAAGAAGCTCACGAGAAAATACAAGTGCAAAAACCAGCATAAAGAGAAAGATTACTGAATATTTGGTGAAAAACCAGCACTACTGGCACCAGTTTGAATAACATTCACAGTACATAAGATGTAACAAACTACAAAATTCAGTGGCATCAGTTAGAAGCCGTTGTGATTACATCCATTGCCTAACGTATGTTCTTGCACGTTTGCTTTCGTTACCTTCTTTAGAAGTTACTTACCTGCACGCAGTAAATACATTAAATCACCAGGAAAATGCCTTCCTTTAACAGCTCATGGAAAAAAAACTCAACTACCACAAGCTGTTTCAATGAAATCATGGCATCGTTACCAAAACCCCACTCAGTGTCATGGCAGGCATGAAGTGGTGATGAAGGTTTATTCAAAACCTTGATTACAAACTTCTGCTCACACCTTCATTTTTCCCACATAAAGAAGTGTGCATGTAGCTAACAGAGGTATCTCCTAAAGGTTAAAATCCATGAGTGCAAAGCAGCTGTGACAGAGGCAGAAACACAACCAAAGATGTGACACAACACAAATGCACACCTCTTGTGCCCCAATGACAGGACTGGCGGAGTGATTACAGTCACACACTGCATTTCCTTGAGCAGCAGCTTGCAGTTATGTTTGTATGAGTTTGTGATAAACAGATACCAGTCTTCCCCAAAGAATAAAAAGCAACTAACAGCAAACATGCTCCCGCTAATGGAGTAACTGCTGTA